CACCTTGAATAGACTTTATTTATTCGAATTATTGAAATCTTACAAGCGGATTTTAACAAAAAGGGACGTTTAAGAATATTCGAGTCAGATCAAATAAAATAAATTACAATGAATATGATAATAATGATTTAATTTAAATTATAACACGAAAAAACAGCAACAAAAAATTAACTGAAGAAACACTTTTAAAGACTTTTTTTTCTTGTATTGAAGTTTTTTGTGTGCATAAAAATTAAAAAAGGGACCGATAAATAAATTTTTAAAATATAAATATTAGATATAAATTACTGTATATTTATTTTTAAATTTAAAGCATCGCATAGTTGTGATTAAATAAGGAAATGGAGAGGTATTTTTCGTAAGAATTTTACTTGGATCCTTGATGTTTTGTTTTGTCAAATTGCTATCAGTTTTTTTTTTATTCAAATGAAATAGTATTTCTAGTAAATATTAAAATTGAATTTGCTTCTTACTTTGAAACCTGAAATTAGTGTTAATCATTCACGTGGGAGAAATTAATCTTAAATTTCCTTTTTGATCTATTGTTCCTAACAATGTTGAATTTTTTCCAAATGAAATTCATTTTTTTTCTTTTGACATACTTAAAGAAACATTCAAAAAGGTTATGTATATTTCATTTGATATTGTAATTTATTTTAATTTCCTTTCGAAGTATTTTTTCTTGTCACAATACATCATTCCATTTCTGGAGTAAGTGGAGAATCTATCTTAGCTACAGACTTAAAACTTTGGTTAAAAAATTAAAGTTAAATATTTTTTTTTAGTAACAAATAATAACAAAAATTAAATCGATTTAATTTTATTTGGATCAATATTGTAATTGTACTTAATGTAAAGTATTTTTTGTGGGTTTTTTATTTTTAACTGTTAAGCTATAAAATCTTGTGTACGGATTTAAAAAAATACACGAAAGTGATCATAATGATTACATAAATTTTATGATTTTATTTTTAACGAATGAATAGATATCACTTGGATATTGTATTTAGAAAAATTAAAAAATAAAGTTTATATTTTATTCGTTTTAATTTGTAATAATTTTTTCATTTACTTTGTAAGTTATTGAAACTATGTATATACTGTTCGATATTTTTATTGTTTAGAAATCCTAATTTTATATATTAATTTTATTTTTTTACGGCTTCATAAGAACTAATGACTAAAAATCGATGCTGCGAAATTAATTTTAATACTAAAAGTCACCTTTTTTTTCCCTTCAATGAAGTAAACCATGTTTAAACTTGCTTTCTTTTTCCGTCAAAGGAGTCAAGATTATTTTTGTTAATCTACCGATCAGAAACTGAATTAAAATAATTAAATCCTGTTTTCAATTCTTTTTTTTTTTTCTTTTTTTTTTGTATTCTTTAACCAGGAAAAGCCCACTGTCAGTGATTTAAAAAAAAAAAAAAAAATAACTTATCACTTTAAAAAAAAAACAATAAAAATCAGATCTCAATTTCGTTATAAATCTTGAATTTTGATTCTTGAAATACCGATATTATGTTTTTATTGAGTTTGGAAGGTTGAAGTTCTGTTAAAATTATAAATTATTGATTACGTTTTATTTTCTAATTTCTTAAAAATTTCCGATTAGATACAAAAAACAGAAGGCATTTAATGATTTGTGAAGTGATTAGTGAAAAGATTGGTGAAACAAAAGACAACCAACAAAATAATAAAAATAAACAGGTAATATACATTTTTAAAAGTAATTAATGAGCAGGTAGTTAATCAACTAATAATAAGAAATAATTAATGTCGGTTAAAACAAAAGTACAAATGGGCCAAGTTGCACATTAAAAGCAATCAATGTAAAAATGTACCTTTTGTTTTTGTATCTTGAGTGTTGCTATGTAAATTCTCTCCAGAATTTTTTTTCTTTATTTTCTGTAAACACCAAAAGATTTTTGGTAATGGTGAGAAGTATTAGGCATTCAGTAACTAAACAGCATTACTGTCAGTTGAAAATTATAGAATCTTGCTTCAAATATTTTTTCAAGAAATTAGACAACTTAAGTCCACTATTATCACTTTCAAATTCTGTACCTTTTTAGTTATATGTGAAATTTTTCTGTTGTTGGATATTTCAAAGATTTCTTCAGGACTGTCAGAAGGTAATTTAAACAAAAAAAGACTTATTTTATACATCTTAGATCCCACTTCAAGATCTATCAAGTATTAATGTAAAGAATAAACACTGATTTCATTTTATTAGTAGTTACCAGACCTCATCTAAAAGATTTGCTTAAAAAGAGCATACATGCTGAAAAAAAATACCCCAAACTTAACAAAAAAAAAAAGTTTTATCATCAAAAATCTTTGTTACTATTATTAGCGAAAAATTTTATTAAATTGTATTTTTTAAACCTTTTTAGAACCTTCAAAATTTTGCTTTTCTTGCATCAGGAAGTGGCCATAAATTAATATGGAAAATTTTGGTGTCTTTTTTGCTGTGAAAAACGTTTTGATTTGGAAATTCTTGCAAAAATCAAATAATTGTTGATTTTAATGAAATTTTCCGGATTTATTCACAAATGAATGAAATTATTTTTAGAGAAGTTTTTTTTTTTTTTTTTTTTAGAAAATCTTAGTAATCCTTTTTTTTTTTTTTTACATGTTACCACTCACTTATTTAATTTTGAGAAAATCCTTTTTGTAGGACTTAATGTTTATATTAGTTATCGCCACAAGTCCTTTTAGAATTTAAATCACCAATTTTATTTTATTCATTTATTTGAAAAGTGGACTCCCATTACAAAAAATCCTCTTTAAACCAGTTGTTTTATTCATTATTATTTTTTTTTATACGTTTGAGTAATATCCCACATCTCCTGAGCTTCCTTGGGATAAGGGGAGACTACTCTATTCCATAATATCAGATATTTTCAAATGACTTTAGATGGAGTTGTTTAAAAATGAATAACACCCATAATAGCCTAATATAGTAAACAAAATTAATTTTTTGTCTGTTACTTGCAAACCTGTAGATGAAAAGGTTTAAAATACTTTTGCCCATCCTCATAGGACAACATTAATAATCAGTTTAATCCCATACAAATTCTACAAACAGTCGTAATTAATTTAAAACCTATAAATGACTTGTAGAAAGCCAATACCTAAAGTTTAAAATGCCTTTTTAAAAATGAAAAATCTTTCTTGAAGCTTTTATTTAGTTTTAATTTCAAGCTAATAGATTAAATTTAATATTTCTAATAAGCAAAATACTTTGCTGTATTTCAAATCTAATTTAAATTTGCTGGAACTATTTTTTTTTTCTAAAATAGCTGAATGGCACCCTTTTTTTATTGCAATGTAATTCTTTTATTAAAAAAAATCTTCCAAAAATAAAATATACTTTCCTGAGATTTTATTTGAAGAATTATTAGCTGATTTAAAATATAATTAATCTGATTTGAATTAACTTTAACTTTAAAATATTACAGAAATGCGAGCTGTTAAGGTGTTTGTGGGCTTGACAGTTTAATGTCATATCAATATTTATCTAATGTTTACATGTGTATCAATGTATGATTGAATTTGAATGCCTTTTATATTTAATTTTTAAGTATTCAGTAATCTTAAAAATTTAAGAAAATATTCTCCCTAATCTAATGTTTTATTGAATTTTAAATATTTTCTTCTGTAAATTTACTATAGTTATTGCTCTTATTTCTTGATAATATTGTGTATGGTCGATCATATATAGAAAATCTGTACGTTTATACACATAAAAAAATTCAGAATTCTTTTTAAAATATTGGCGTTTGATGATTTGTACTAAGCTTTACAATTTAGGTTTAATAAATATAGTTTTCACTTAATAATATCATCTAAAAGGCTTAAATTAATACAGAATTTAAAAATTTGAAACTTAAAAGTTTTTCTAAGTAAAATTTGGAAAAAAAAAAAACAATTTTAAAGATTCATTATTCATTGAAAAACTTTTTTTTTAAGACAATAGTGTCCTTAATATATCTTATTTATAATTGCAATTAAAAGCTTTTCTAATTAATATTTTATTGCATTTTTTTAGTTTACATTTCAGAGCAGATTTGAAATGGTGTTTCTGTTTGACAAAAACAAATTGAAGATTTAAATTCTCCAAGGAATCCTGCTTTTAATATGTAGAGCTTGAAATTTTACAAAATTAAGTTAATATGTTTAAAAAAAAAAAAAAAAAAATGATTTATATTTTTACCAAGATCCCCCCCACACACACACACACCAAAAAAATAAAATTTCAAAAATAATTTCATTCATTTGTTAATAAGTTCTGAAAAATTCATTAAAATCTGACAATTTAATTTTTTTGCAAGAATTTCCAAAACAATGCATTTTAACACCAGAAAAGATACTAAAAATCCTCATACAAATCTTTGGCCCACTTGCTGACACAAGAAAATCAAGATTTTTAACCAAAAAAAAAAAGATTTAACAAATTTAATAAAATAATTAAAAAATACTTTGCTCTTTCCTCTTCACAACATAAACATTTTGATGATAAAACATTGTTTCTATTTTATTATCTATAAATTACCATGATTTCTTAAGAAAGTGCAGCATTTTTTAAAATTCTTATCTTCACTTTTTAAAACAATAGATCTTGTCAAGGAGTGGAGGTAGTTAAGTTAAAAGCGGGGAACTTTTTTTCTTTTCTTTCTTTTTCTTTCTTTTTTTTTTTTTTTTCTTTTTTTTCTTTTTTCTTTTTTTTTTTTTTTTTCTTTTTTTTTTCTTTTTTCTTTTTCATTTCTTTTTTTTTCTTTTTTCTTTCTTTTTTCTTTTTTTTTCTTTCTTTTTTCTTTCTTTTTCATTAATTTTTTTGCAGGCGCAAAGGTTAGATATAGCTGGCAATATTGCTATTCTTTGTTAAAATGCACAATTTCCTCTATACTTTTGTTCTTGTTCAAGTTACAGGCAGGTAGTTCTTTATTTTTTTCTTCTCATTCAGATGTGTTGCAGAGAGTGAACTGCTAAGAATGATGGGAGCCACTACTCTCGGCAGCCCAGATGCTAACAAGGTAAGTCGGATTATTATTTTTGAACATCACTTGGTATCACTATCATTGGCATCACTATCATTGGCTCTTTATGTTATCAAGCATAAAAAAAATGACAGTTTGAAAGAAAAAGCATCTGTGATGTTTTTTATGTTGTCTGAAGTTCTTAAATGAAGGATCATTATTAACTTTTGGGCTTAATGGACATATCCTGTTGAAATAGCGATTCTTGTACAATCACTGAAGTTAAGTAACATTGAGCATGGTCAAAATGGGTGACCACTTGCGAATAATATGTGATGTAAGCTTGGATGTACATGTAATGTATAATGGCTTGGAATTGGAACTTGATTTTCTCTGATTTCCAGTTCCAGTTGGAATCGGTATATTCACTTGCACACAAATACTCTTGGGAAAGGTAAAGATTCATCTCTTCTCATCCCAGCTAGGGCCATCCTGGTTATGACGATAAACTACGTCCAACAGCAAGGCCTTTGATCAAGAGGTTTTGAGGAGTGTGGAACCACATCTTAATTGCTTGTGTTCCCAGATCCGCCCTGACCTGGTGTGGTAGCACCTGTTAGGATCCTAGCTATGGGCAAATAGTTGACCTTGAAACTGGGGTAAAAACACGATGAAAGTGTAAAAACAGGTTTTAATTCCAGAAATACTTTGTAAAAAAAATTTTCCCGCAATAAATTTTTGAAGAAAAAAAACTATTACCTGCTATGCATTTTTGAGAAAAAAAATATTACCAGTAATAGTTTTTTGAAAAAAAATTATTACCAGCAACAAATTAAAAAAAAAAAAAAAAAAAAAAAAAAAAATTACCAGAAATAGATTTTTGACAAAGCAAAATAAAATTTGGCATTAAATAAACACATTTGGGTTGATATGCCGTAAAACAAACCAAATCCAGCTAGGGGTTAATTAGTACAGTGTATCAGTAAATCATTGTTATCTCTTAATATATCTTACAACTTAAAAATATTTTCTGGTTTTAAATAATCTGTATTGAATTGATGTCAAAAAAAAAATCTGTCAATATTAATTTTGACTAGTTTTTCTTTCACTATATTTTTGTTAGCTACTCTTAGTAGTAATAGGTGTCTAGAATTGTCTGAATTGCATAGTAGAAGCAGTTGTCATTCATTTTTATCTTAGCTTTCTTTTATATTATTGCTTGTAGTAATAAACATGATAATCTTTTGTTTGAATTGCTTAAAGAAAGCCTTTTGATCAGTATTCATCAATAATGATCATAGTCACAATTCTTCAAGAAATTATACATAAGTGTATGTGTGTGTGTGTGTATATATATATATATATATATATATATATATATGATGTCACACATTATAAAATGGACAAAGTCCGACAATTATTTTAAGACATTTTATGTTATACATTCCTTTCATAGATACAAATATTTAAGTAAATGCTCTATTTATAATAAACAGTATTTTTCACAGAAAGTATTCGTCCTCCAACAGGATTTGAACCTGTATCCTATACGGAACTGTCATTTAGCTTGACGTGCCTTTACTGATTTGGCCACAGAGGAGCGTTCGGTTAGCAAGGTCAAATTTACTGTATTTAGACTTCAATGTTCCATGAATCTCTTACGTTCATTCATATCTGCTCAAGGCGTATCAAATGTAAACAAATGACATCACACATTATGAAATGGACAAAATCCGACAATTATTTTAAGACATTTTATGTTTATACATTCTTTTTATAGATACAAATATTTAAGTAAATGCTCTGTTTATAATAAACCGTATTAAAACAACATTTACCGGCCTGAATGTTTGAGAAATTTTCACAGAAAAACTATTCGTAAACAGTGGGAATGCTTACTGGATCTGAATGTTATTGCTTTCTTGAAATTAATTTTTTTTTTTTTTTTTTCCCTTCCTTCCATTCACTATATTAATTAAATTTACAGGCTTATATATTTTTTCTATCCCAGAAAATAAACTTGATGAGGCTGGGACAAAACTGGTTGTTCTTTTTTAGCTTTTTAAAATGCCATATAAATTTTACTTATCCCTAGCTATCATTAAATTTTGTATTATAAAAAACTTATTTTTATATATATATATATATATATATATCTGTGAGCATTAAAAATAATGTTTAAACAAATAAATTAAAAATGTCAGATTTAATCCATTTCCTAAGATATATATAGATATATAAAACAATGAATCATTCATACAAAAAGTAAATTTGTTAACAAATTTTTAAAGGTGCATTAACCTACCAATCACTCAATGAATGTTATGATCCTTGTTTTTTAAAATTATAAGCTGTATAAGGTCTTTCTTAAATATGCAAGTACTTTCGACTGTACGTTCAGTCATCTTCAGGCATAGAAATTTGCTTTTGGTAAAATTCAGGTTGCATCCAAGACGAAAAGATATAATGTGAATTGAAATATGCTTTTTTTTTATTTTTATTTTTTTTATTGTGTTATTGATAATGGATACAAATTTTTGGAGCGTGCAGTTGCAACGCTAAGGTTGAATTTTTTTTTTTTTTTTTTTAAATTTAAGAGAATGCATTTTTTACTAATATGGCAATTTGAGTTTTTTTTATTTATTTATTTTTTTTGTAGGAGTTTTTCAGTAAATGTGGCATGAACTAAACAGTTCAAATAAATAGAGTAATGTCTCAGTTGTTATCCCAAAAATTTGCACGTCAGATCAGTTCTTTAAATCAAATATGTGCTGCATCTTGGTTTTTATCTCTGACATATATAATTATCTTTCTGCCTTTGTCTATTTCTTTATCTTTCTGTTCACATATATATATATATATATATATATATATATATATACACACACACACACACACTTACTTATTCATGTATGTATTTTACAGGGTTTAAATGGCACGAAGAAAACCATCACAGACTTCTTTGGAAAGTCATCTCAGAACAACCCAGCCATTGAAAGCAAGCCTAAGGATTTATTTGGCTATTTCTCCAAGCCATCTTTTGGCAAGACTAATAATTTGGCAGAAGAACATTCTCCTTTGGCAAGCAGTCCAAAGGCTCACAAGGGAGGCATGCCTGTCAGTAATTCCCCAAATTCAATTGGCTCAAAGAAAAAGAAAAGGAAGCGCAATGACAAGGCATTGATTACCAATGATAGCCTTGATGAGGATGACAATGTGAAACCTAAAAAACCCAAATGTAATAAAGATGTTGAGTTATTTCAGACAGATTCAAGTCCACCATTAAAAGAAAAAAATCCATTTTCAGGTGATTTAATTGTGGAGAATGAAAATCATTCTGATGAAAATAGTAAGGAGAAGACAGTTGCTGGTGCCAAAGAAACCAATGCTAAAAATACCCAAGGAAAATCTGGTCATCGTTCTCTGGCAAAGCCAAAACGCTCTGATGGTAAAAAGAATGTTTATAAATGGACCAGGCCACTTGATTCTAATGTATGTGACAATGAGTTATCTTCTGGCCTGTGTGAAGATTTAGACAATGATAAAAATTCAGATGCATCAAAATCTCTGGAATTGTCCTATGAGGAGTATCTTCTCTCTCAGGAAATGGATACTGAACCTGCAAAGATAGAAGTTGAAATTGAACAAACAGAAGATATTCCTGAGAATTCTGAAGATGCCATTTCTGCATCTTCTTGCCAAAAAGTAACCAAACCTACTTCCATTGCAACATTCTTCTCTCATCTTCCAAAATCAGTAAAAAAAGAAACCCCAGTTTCTCAAACAGTCACGATATGTGCAGATATCCATCCTGAGCCTCGTCAAAAACCACCCAGTCCAATAAAGAAGCATGCTCAATCCAAGTCTCAAGAAATAGTTCTGAAACCCATTTCTCTTGATACCAAGTCCAGACTCAAAGAACTTGACAGTATTGTGGTCTTGAGCAGTGATCAGCCTTCAGAAATAAAAGAACTGCCGCCATCTGATGGAATCAAACAAAAGTCTTTCAAGAAATTAAGTGCCAGTTCTGATCGTGCCCCAACGAAGTCTACTGGCAAAAACAAAGTTCTTTCTTCAGTACCAGATGTTAAAGGTGGGAAATCGTCTCAGTGTCTTTTAAACTTTGGTGGTCAAAAGCCACTTATGTCAAAACCTGAAGATGACGCCACTACCATAGAGAATATGAACTGTTCCCAATCCACAGTGACCTCTCCAACAGAGAAAAACAAGTTCCAATCAGATGTTTCAACAATAAAACCTGAAGAGGATTCTAGTGCAATCCTGGAAGACAAAGAAATTGTAGATACAAAGACTCCACTGAAAAGAAAGCGTGGTAGAGGGAAGAAGAATTCAAAAGTTGCATCGAAGGAGAATATTGCAATGGTTAATAAGAAAAAACAATCTACTAAGAATCCTAGAGACAAAAGTGGTATAAAAAAATTTCAGATAACAGAGAAGTGTGATGAGAACATAGTTGATACTAATGTTGAAATTCCAGTTTCCAAGAAAGAAGAAGAAGAAATCAAGTTAGACAAAATTAAAAGTAATGAAGAGGAGACGGCAGAAAGGTAAGATATTAAAATATCATTGGTAGGATTTATTCAATAAATGCTGTATTTCGCATCATATAATATCTATTTTTTCTTTTTTTTTTTATCAAATTTAGCATCTTAAATATGGATAGAGGTTTTGGTAGTACTTTCTAAGAGTGAAGTTGACATGTGAAAATTTTGAAAGATTCTGAGAAGAGTAAATAAATTTTAACTCAGAAGTTTATTTTTTTTTCTATCCACACAGTTATAACTGAAACATTAAACTTGATTTTTTTTTTTTTTCTTTCATCAGCATTTAAAGTAATTTGTTGTAATTTTTATATGAATTATAGCTTCAAATTCAGTGTATGTGATATGAAATACAGTAGATAAAAACTTTCTCCCCCACTCTAATGTCTACATATATGGTGATACAAAAAATAGTAAATATATTTATTGAAAATGACTTTTGCTATAGGTTTGGCATTTGGAGTGGTTTTAATATTAGTTGTTTATGTAAACCAATGATATCACAAATATAACTTTCTAAATAAATACCACATTTGATGGCATGTAAATGCTCTGCTGGTCCCTTTTCCCCACAGAGTAGCTCAAATATATATCTACAGTTTTACATGCAAAAGTTGAGGTATCAGGTTAGCTAATGTTTACTTTGAGGCTATCATCTATGTGTCATGTCCCTTCAGAACTTCCTGTCCATTTTGCCATGTATTCACTCAAGTTTGTCAGGTAAGTGGTCCACTGCCTTCCTCCATCTTTCTTGCCCTCAATATTATCTATTTCCAAACCCTCCTTCGTCATTATGTGACCAAGGAATTTCAGCTGTCTCTTACTGATTCTGGGTATAAGCATTCTTTGTTATTTCTTTCAGAACTTTTTGTTGCTTTCTTGCTTTGTCCATGGATTATTCAGTATATCCTTCCGGAGAAACCCATTTCTACTGCGTCCAGTATTCACTGTGATACCACAAAAGAAAAAACTAAAAATACTTGTAGTTTAGCCTAAACTCTCTAATGATATTAAATGTAAATGGAGGAGAGGATGTCTTTATACCAACAAATATGGTACATCAATATCATTCACTCTTATAATTATTTATACCACTGACACAAAAAATACAGAATGTAGAAATGAAATGCATTAGAAAGGTTTACTATTAAAAATGTATTGCATTTCTATAATAAGATTATTTTTATACTAGATGATTTCTATAATTTGTGCTTTAATAAAATACATCAAAATTTTTATCCAATCTAATCATAAATCTATCTCCTCACCCTAGCTATTGGTTCAATCATAGGACTTGTATCTAGAAAGATCATTACTGTTAAAAAAATGTTAATGCAATATTCACTTGTAAATAAAAGAAAAAGAATTATTCTTACAATCCAAAATATTTTTCAGTTTTAAATAAGCCATAAAGGGTTGATAAGCCATCTGTAGAATAAATGCAAATGTCAGTGTGTCACTTGTCACACATTTTCAACTTTACTCCTAGAAGCTGTAGCCAACATATTTTGAAATCGGGCCAACTCCATGAGCAAATTAAAAAAATTCTGGGTTGGATCCGGCTTCACAATCCTGAAATTTATGATTTCCCAAGTCTTCATTACTGTGATTGTTTTTGGCTATTTTTGTATTTGAGTTTTTGCAACATATTTTTTTTTTTGTATGATAACAATTTTGTAACTTGCAAATAAATTTGGGAATAATTGAAATTAATTGTGAAATCCAATGAAAGTCACCCATGAAATAAAAATATTTGTATGGAAAGTAAGGACCTACGTACATCAGATTTTCTTTAAATTAAGTGGCAGCAGAAGAATTATTGTACTTTTAAAAAGTAAGCTTAAATATTAATGCAATACTTAAATGCAGTGATCAATTTTGAATTCTTCTATAGTTTATTGTTGCCTATCGCATCTACTACTCCCTACTTATTGTGATGAAGGCTCAATCAAGAGCCCTCCACAGAAGCTAGCTTAAATGTTGTCCTATTGGGTGACTTTTAAGCAAGTAAAAATAAATCAATCATTCATTATATGTATAATGACATAGGTAATGCCATAAAATATATATTAAGGGATTTACAGCAGCTATTGGTGCAGAAAGTGAAATTGTCAAGCTGAGTTCAAATTCATACCTAACCTGTTGTGTTCTTTTTCACATGAAAAATCCCATAGAAGCAAGCGAGCCAGAGTGGCTTGCATCTGGCGCATAGGAAAATAAGGATGTTGCCTCAACGTGCGGCATGTGGCATCAGCAAGTTTTCTCCGTAAAAATGGCATTACTTTCCTGTCTAGCCATTCCATCAGTATGTGTGGTAACAAGGATTTTTGTACAGTTTGGCATGCTTCGACCAATAGCAAGTGTGCAGGTTGGTCGAACTGGAGGAGGCTATTTACCTGGTTGACTGAGAATAAAAGCGAAGAACACTGATTGGTTGGTCAACCGCGGTGTTGGCCTGATAAAAGAGGGCTGAAGCAATGAGAAGAGGAAAAAGACGGATTTATGTTTTGAAGTGTTCAGAAAGCAAGAACAGTGGGTTGAACCAGTGGTATCTTGATTTGTACAAGTGACGTCTTAGTAATAGAGACTAATTTAAGCTACAAATGCCTTTGAAAAGGGCATTTATCCATCTCTTCTCCCTTCATATATGGGTTAAATAGCAGGGTAGAGAAGGATTACTCTATTGAAAACCAATGAGAAGGCCGTAGAAAACCACTATTTTCTTAAGAAGTTATGGCAATTCAGAGATAATAAAGAAAAGGAATCTGTGGAGATCCATGATCGATTACATCCTGAGGGGACAAGGCATTAAAAAAAATAGTGAGTAAGTGAATAAACGGATAGAAGGAAACTGAATATAAATTCTAAAATGAACAATAGCCGAGTGGATTAAAATGGTGGTTCATGAATTTGGTGACATAATAATTTTGAGTTCAATTCCTGGGCTAAAATTAAGAACTAGATATGCCTGGACATGGGCAGTGGGACATGAATAGTCTAACCCCATAGATTAAATAAAGGATTCAGTTTGGCATCTCTTGTAGGTTACTCAGATCAACATACACTTGGTGAAGGCTGGGTGGGGTGTCAATGAATGAGATGATAACAACAGCAAAAATGAGTACAATAAACCACATGTAATTAGTACAAGTAAATTATAAAAAGTTGGGGATTTAATAACTTGTCTATATTGATGGGGAAAAAAATATGCTAAAAAAAAAAACCCTCCTCCACCTTATGAAATTAGTAATAATCCATCGTGAATGTTAGTTTTGTGCTTTTGAGACATCATTCACAAGACTGGATTTTCGGCAAACTTGGACCTTTGTACCTGCAGTGTCGAAAGGACTTTTTTTTTTTTTTTTTTTTTTTCTCTCTCCCCCTCCTGCTTGACACTGCTATTATTTTTAGCTCCCTTCACTCCCTGGCAATGTTTGTTTTTAAAAAGCAATGATTAGAATTCTAATAAAACTTAAACATATGATGAAAATGCATTTATACATTTTTGTTTTTTAAAATTTACTGCAAAAAAAAAAAATTAAACACTATTTAGTAGATTGTTTAATTACAAAAATAATTTTATATTTGCAACATTCTAAAAACTAATACATTTCTATTAAAACTAATACAATATTTATCATTTACCAATTTATAAAGAAATAAATAGGAAAACAATTTTTTAATTCATAGATTGATAAACATTAATCAAGTTATAAAAATATGTGAACTAACTATAATTAAATCTTCATTATTTATCATTTTATAAAATTTAAATTGATTGGCAATTAGCCAATGTTTTGTCAACCATTAAACAATCTAATAAATAGTGTTTACTGTTTTCATTGTCAATTCTCAAGAACAAAGCAAATGTATAAATTCACTTTCATGTTTTGGCTTTTATTGCAATTATAAGAGTTGTCAAGGGGAAAACTGTCCTTTTGACACTGAATTCTTTCTTTTTCTTTCTTTCTCTTTCTTTTTTTTTTCTTTCTTTCTCTTTTTCTTTTCTTTCTTTCTCTTTTCTTTCTTTTTTTTTTTTTTTCTTTTTTTTTTTTTTGGCAGGAAGGTTCTTCAAGAATTTGTTTGTGAAGTTCTAGTACTGTTGCACTAGTATGTTACACATGGAATATTAAAAAGAAAAAAATAGTTCAATGATCAGTAATCAAGGCAGATATTACTGACAAGACCCAAGGAGTGGAGTCTCGGAATTAATATTAGGCTGAATCCCAATGGAACCATCCAACTAGGCAGTACCTCTCCTTCAAGAGGAGGCTGGGGTCATTACCCAGTGCCTGAGTTGTCCCAAAAAGTGCTGAAGAGGCCCGAGCAACTTTTGTACTTCCGTCTGAAATCCTAAACTCAACCTTGTCACCTCTCTGCTGGCAAAATAGGGCCATTCAAAGTTGTTTCCCTGTGCCATGATAGACATTTTTTTCTTGTCAGAATCTATCTTTATATATTTATAAATCTACATCATTCATCCTTGCTTTCAATATTACTGCTACATCTGGTTCTGATGCTATTATGTATTTTAAGATTCTTGATAAAATAAAAGGAAAAAATTTGCAATTTTAGTGGTCTGGAACAGACATCTCAGCTTCAGTCTCTTCCCTTGCCGTAACGTAGCTACCCTGTGTATTTTCTATAAATATTTTCATGGTAATTGTTCTGATGAGCTTTCCTCTTTTCTTTGGAACCTAGACTATATAAAGGGTTTATTTTTGCAGTCATTTTTTTTCGTGATCAATTTGGAAGGAAAATAATATATAATTAATTTACATACTCTAAAGTCTGTTCATTGTTTTATTGATGGTGGTGAGGCAAATCAGGCAATGTAATTTCTTGGGTGGGATGAGCATTGGATAAAATATTGAAATATAAAACAACATTAAGAAAGAAAATACATTACTATCTGAATCCCAAGCTAAGATCTGACCAATTATTTCATCATAGATGGAATCATCAGTTGCCATGATGCTGCAGTTTCAAGGATTCAAGACAAGTATGGCTTCTCGGTAGCATTCATGTAAATCTTTTACTAAACCATGTTTCAACAAGTTTATCCTAAACTTATTTCTTTTTATTTCTCTTGCCAAGGCTTGGAATATTCTAAATGAATCCCTTACAGAGGGGTAAGACACCTCCAAAGGGAGCCACTTTTCCGGGTGTTATTTGCAGACTCAGGTATATACCCAAATAATGTCTACCTTTTTTAACTCTAGTGTCAACTGGACCTGTGTCAACTTATCAATTCATTGTGATTTTTCTCTTATAAGACTCATATTCACCATTAAGTTAACCAACTTAACCTAATTTTTAGTTAATAATAAAAGAGATACAAAATTTCACCGTCCTGGGTATGATGATAAACTACATCTGCGTCCTGGGTAAGACGATAAACTACATCCAATAGCAAGACCTCTGATCAGGAGATTTTGAGGAGCATGGAACTAACTCTTTATTATTGGTGTTCCTAGGTCCACTCTGACCTGGGGTGGTAGCACCTGTTAGGGTTCCAGGTATAGATAAATAGTTAACCCCCAAACTGGGGTCAAAACACTATGAAAGTTTAAAAATAGCTTTTAGTATCAGCAATACATTTTTGTAAAAAAAAAAAAAAAAAAATTATTACCAGCAATACATTTAAAAAAGAAAAAAAAAATTTATTACCAGCTGTACATTTTTATAACCAAAAAAAATTTATTACCAGCAATAAAAATCTTGCCGGCATTAAATAATCCATGGAGGCTGATATGCAGTAAAACAAACCAAATCAAATTTTGTAATGACTAAAACTTGTATTCACTAAATACTAATAACTAACTAGATACTGGCCATTAAGTACTGGTTAGCTAATTAGTATTGATGGTCATTACAAGTGAACTTGATATTTACTCAGGAGCCTATTATTGTGGCTTTGAATATGAATAATATTTACATTTAGACTAACGTCCTCATCTTTGTTATCATGTTTTGGCATAATGCTCTCCAGCCTTCTTCTGTTGATCCAGATAACATTCAGAGATTTTCAGACTGGACCCTTTATTTAATCTACAGATTAGATTGTTCATGTTTAGGGAATTTGGTGATATATTAATTCACCAGTGCTAAATAAAAACAAGATAAAATATCACTAGACAATGGAATAAAAACAATCTACCCCTGCAAATTTAATAAAGAGTTCAGTTTGAAAATTTCATTGAAAATGATCCATATTGACTGATACCTGAAGAAGGCTGGAGAACATGACCGGTGAAACATGGTAAGAATTAAACTGAGGACAATAGTGCACATGTATACCTGAGGAATTTTATCTATGGACCCATTTGTGTGTACTTTTATTCAAAATTAAGAATGCTAATTTTATTTACAGTTCCTCAAAAGAAGACATCATTGACAAATCTGAAAAAGGCTCTAAGGTAAGATTTAGTTAGTTTTTTTTTTTTATTTCTTTTCAAACTTATATTAAAGATGCAATCATTTTTTATCTAATTGTTCTTGCATGTAAAGCATACAATATTTATATGATTGTGAGCTTATTTGTACTATCACAAAAAAAAAATGCCCCCCACCATATGTATATAATCAGATAGGCTTTCCTCAGTTATTTTTCTTAATGAAGTTCTGTGTATAAGATTATTTAATGTTTTCTCCTTGTATAATGTCATCATTTCTCTATAATGCTTTCCTGCCATTGTCTTTTGTATCTGTTGTTATTAACAAAAAAAAAAAAAAAAACCTGCAGTTGTTCAAACATTGGATGAATTCTTTGAGTATATCTGCATTTTTCTCTCCATAATAATCTAATTGTGGATTCTCTCCTCTCCCCCATTCTTTTTTTTTTTTTTTTTTTAACTAAAATTTCACCCAATACAAGGCTTGAAAGCCACTATGTAAAGTCAACAAAATAAATGCGGTGAGTGTAAGAGAAAATAGTAAATGAGGATAACAAGCAAATATGACAATAGGGCCTTGACCTGAACATGTCAAGATTGACGTTTTCAGGGGAGCATCCACGTGGGAGTCTTGGTGGGGGAAAAGCTGTCTGAGTGGAAATTTCATTTTACATTTGGCACACAGAATGAATGAAAACTATTCCACTCCATAGAAGTGGCAATTAAGGTCCTAGATGTAAATGTCTGAACTGGTGGAATGAGTGGATGGAGTTCATTTGAATATTTACTACAGAAGTAGCAACAGGCTTACAACATATTGCATTTGTGGGAAAGAGGCTGCAGAGTGGAAAAATAAGTTATCCCCAATAAAACCACATAAACGGCTTTAAACTCTTATGAAGACTGGGAAGTGAGGATTGAGTAATTCCAGCAAAGATATGGCTGCAATTCTTGTATTCGTACAATAACACTATAAGTATGTGTGGGGAAAATTGTGAAAATGGCCTACCTCGGAACCAAAATGGCGGTGCCCATGTTTTATGCCGGGCGGTCTCGGACAGTTAACGCAAAATCTCGTTGTCTCGTCATTCGCATGCAAATTATGGTCGGTCCTCGGCTGTATAAAGCAGGCACGTTTTTGTTTCTGGGCACTGAGTTTTTTGCGTATATACAATTTTTATCATTAAAATGAAACATTTTGTAGCTGTTTTATATTTAATTAATGTTTTTTTTTTTTTTTTTTTTTTTTAATCGACGAATGTCTGTTATAATGCTCATTTAAACTTGTAGTTCTGGTTAATAATATTCCAAGGAAAACACTGGGATTAAAGATTATTGAAGAAACTGTTTAAATCACATGGATTAATAGTACAATAACAGCAAATACTGCTGTGTGGCAGTGCATGTGAGACACTTTGCAACTCATGTTTCTATAAGCTGAAGTTCTTCTCATAGTGAATGGAAGTCTATATTCATCCATTTAGTGTAGTGAAGGTCAGTCATCTTTCTACACAACAGTCTGCTTGAAAACATTGTGTGCGCATTAAGTTTTCAGAAAATGATGATACAATATGCTTCGTATAACACAATTTTCTTTTACCATTTCCTTGAATAGTCACACACACACACATATATATATATATATATATATATGTGTGTGTGGGGGGGGGAGTGTATGACTACATGTAAAAAGTTTTCTTGTGACATGTTTTGTCCTTTAGGACTTCATCAGACTAAACTTGTTATGTTGATGCAACTACATATGCGTACGAATGAAGGGTGCTGGTAATCAAAAACATCCCTATTTCATTTACATATGTCATCGTACCAGCATAACAAATTTAGTCCAATTAATTCCTAAAGAACAAAATGCATCACAAGAAAACTTTTTCCAATTTATCATACACTTTTCCCCAATATTCTTCTTGGTATATAAAATATATATCATTTTTTTTTATATATATATATATATATATATATATATATAGTGAAACAATCAATATTTACTGTTGCAGTGAAAATGCGTGTTTGATTCTATTGCACATGAAATATTCAGCTCCTGCCAAGATCCAGATTTGACCAAAAAATGGAGTATTTTTGCCATATCTGGACATACGTTCCTCAATCCTCGCTTTGTAGCTGTGATAGACATCAAAAGCTTTGGCACTCTCATGTGGAGTACAGGAAATTTAAGTTACATGAGCCTCTTTCAGAGATAAAGCAGATGCTGTGATGGGCTCTTGCTTAAGTGTGTAAGGAGGATTGAAAGGGAAGGGTCTTACATATAATATGGAGATACTCCTGTGTCTGGAGAAGCCATGTTTAGGATTCCAGATTCAAGCGGGCTGGATTCATTTATGTCTCAGGACATTCCACAAACAGGAAACAGCAAGTCTTGTGTTTTCCCTAATTGAGGACAGCAAGCTGGAGTCTCTTTCTGTACCTGGAAATGATATATTCCCAAAGGAAAACAGTAACATTGACTTGTATGTTACAGTGAATGCAGCTTTAACCTCTGCCCAGGCTAAAGAAAGCAACCTTTCAGTTTCATTGCTGCAAAGAAAACTTGATTTGACTGCTGCTTTTCCTCACTGTGTGGAGTGACATCCATCACATGCCCTACCTCCACCAAAGGGAGATAATCGTCTTCTGTATCCCTACAACATAAAATGTCTACTGTTTTGAATAATATCCATTTAAAAGAAGAATTCCTGCCCAAATATATTGAACTTAAATTTGCATAGACATGTCTGACTCAATCATATTTGCACCTCAACAATAGGCAATTTTTGATGTTGGTGCAAAAGTGTTGAGATATTGTTTGACAAATTCATTTCGCTTAAATTTGGCTTTACTTTTATATTCTTTCTTTCTGCAGAGAAAAAGTCACAGGAATATACCTGCGACTGATGGGAATGCTGCTACCAATCTGGGAACAAGGAGGAGTGCTCGTTTGAGAGATCACAAAACCTCAGCACATCCAAGCCCTACAGAAGGAACACAGTCTCAACCAATGACTTCTAAGACGCACAAGGAAAAGAGAAAATCTGATTCTCTGAACACTGTTGGCTCCTCAGAGAAATCTAAGGAAGCATCAGCTAGAAAAGAATTAAATATGAAACAAGGTAAACAAGTTTAATACAAGTATACAAAACAAGTTTAAACACTTTAAACAGGACTGAGTCTGTTACAATAACTTCACTTTTATGTCCTTGCTAAAAGCCTGAACTGATCTCTTTTCATCTTAGCTATGGGCTAAATAACTGGGTAGAAGACAAACTTTTTGAGTTTTGTTTGGCAACAGAGAACAGAATACCAAATTTCGTAACCAGGGATAGAATCCACACTGCCAACAAGTTATGGGTAGAAAAGAAAAACTAGGGAGCTGTTTTCATTCCTACTCAATAAAAATCAAGTTTCCAAAATGATTAACACACAGGATGAAGACTCAATTGGATTTAGGAGATGACACTTCTGACATTGTCTTGGTTATGATCTGTAGATTTTATTTCTATGACTCATCGCTTTTTTTTTTTCTTCTTAAATAACATCAGATAAGTATTGTGAACTTTATTATTTCTCATACAATAATTATTCTAGACAATGATTGAGAACTTAATTGGCAAAGATTCTGTCCGCATATGTTGAATTAGATAATTTTCTATAAATATGGATAGTGAGCATTATTATCATTATTTTATTTTAAAGGTGGATTACAAATGTTTTTCCTTCACACATGCTGCCTATTAAATCAGATTCTATTGATTTCTTTTTTTTTTTTTTTTTTTTTTTTTTTTTTTTTTTTCTTTTTTTTTCTTCTTTTTTTTCTTCTTTTTTTTCTTCTTTTTTTTCTTTTTTTTTTTTTTTTTTCTTCTTTTTTTTTCTTTTTTTTTTTTTTTTTTTTTTTTTTTCTTTTTTTTTTTCTTTTTTTTCTTCTTTTTTTTTTTTTTTTTCTTTTTTTCCTTTTTTTTTTTTTTTTTTAAGTATTTGGTGAGACAGAAAATGCTTTATCACTTCGCCCACAAGATGAAAAAAATCAATTGGATTTAGGGGATGACAGACTCAGAGTCATGACACTATCTTAGTAGATTTTATTTGTATGACTCGTCTGTCCAGCCTAATAATGGGGGGGCTTTTTTTTTTTTTTTTTTTTTTTTTATTGAAATAACATCAGATAATTATTGCAAACTTCATTGTTTCTCATACAATAGCTGTTGGTCTAGACAATGATAAAGAACTTACTGGCAAAAACTCTATCCACATTTAGTATATGTTGAATTATGTAATTTCCTATAAATATTGATAGCATTATCATTATTTTAAAGGTGGATTACAAATGTTTTTCACACATACTGCCCATAAATCAGATTCTATTTATTTCTTCCTTTCATTTTTTAAGTATTTGTAGAATCAAATTTAGTAAGACAGGAAAGGCTGGATAACTTCTGTTCAAATTTCCTGAATATTTTTACAGTGACATTATATATATATATATATATATATATATATTTACTAATTTAAAAATATGGTTCCATCGTTACACAGAGATTACCATGTTTCAAAAACAGAAACTAAAAACTTCAAATTCGAATTATAGAATTAAATTAAAGTCCCTAGTCCTGTTTCATTTTCAAGCGAATTTTGGAATAACTTATTTTGAAATTTACTGAGTTTTATAAGCACATACATTCATAATATTAGTTTCTAAGGGTATGGGGAAATTCAATCATTTTCACAAGGGGTGGTAGGGTATTCATTTTCACTGACAACTATTGTATCAAAATATGAGTTACTTTCAAAAAGTGGTTAAGTTAAGATTGTGTAGGGGTGCCTTTTTCAATGAATGATGACATCTGTTCAATACATGTCGTCTGGTTTTTATCAATGACAAAAAGTTTTTCGGCACTTTTGTTTCACCATTAAATTTGTAATTGTATACATAAAGATTTTTTCTAAAGGGGTTTGTAAATGGGTACTACAATTTTAATTCCTAATTCTAATTACTATAGACTATACTTCTTTTAAAACAAATAAATGTAATAGAATTGCTTAAATTATTTAAAAATTATTATTAAATATCAAATATAAATATGTATATTTCAATTATCAGCTTTTTTTTTTAAACATTATTTAAGGAAAATCTTTGACAATGTTGGCATAGAATAGCTATTTCATTTCTTTGATTAAGTAAATTTTTATTTTTTATAAACCTAGTAACGTATATTTTCTCGTCTATACACAAAGGACATGGGTCATTTAATGGCCTACATATTCTAGCTTTGCTTATTAATTTTCATTTCACAGTAGGTGTTTTATTGGTTTCTTTTAAGTGCCAGAAATATTTCGATAGGGACGTCTGATTTCGGTATTTATTTATCCTAAAAGAAGTTTGGTGTTGGTTGAACTGTTTATTGAATTCATGTCTTGTGTATCCAATGTAGACTTTTACGTTGTCTGGATCCTAAATAAATACTGCAATGGTATACTAATGATTCAGTGTGGCATTTATTATTAAGAGGACAGTTATGAGGATTTCTGCAGTTACATAATTTTTGTTTATCTTCATCTCTTTTTATTATTATACTGTATAAATTTCTTTGGTCTTGGTCTAAGTGTTTATTCAAGATATTAGCATTATGTTTCTTAATTTTTTCTAAGTTTTCAGTACAGCTGTAACTTAATTTTAGGGAATTTTTATTGAAAATAGTACTGAGTTTATTATCTTTATGGTTATATTAGAAAATTTTTAGTATTGAGATGCAATGAAACAAAAGTCTTGAGATTTCAATAGAGCGGAGATAAAGAATTCACACCTGAAATAACGGCCATTGAACCATTTAATTAATCCATTTCCATTATATATTTTTTAGATGTTTAATGGTATCTAAGATTCATTGATTACTTCTGGTGTTATATAAATTGCTTTTTGCTCAGTATCATTTCATGTTAAAAATGTTGTGTGTTCATTATAGCAGTGAAATGGAAATATGGAAAAAAGATTAGCAACAGAACAACAAAGACTGCTAAGGGAGAGCCCATTCCAAGACCAAGGTGAAGTAAGATGATCATTTAGTAGACAAATATATCAGAGTGCCTCACATGAAATGCTTGATCAAATAACACTGCAAAAAAATTGAAGAGATAAAGGGCTGATTAATTAAACGGTAAATTTGGGGTTGGGGGGGCTAATTTTGTCTCAATGCAGATAAAGATTTTACTTGTCTTTATTAAAATGGCTAAGGAAAGTAATCACTCATACATTTACTAACTTAAGCTCATTTACCTCCCTTCCCACTACAGATGGGACAGGAAATATATAAATAAATACACAATGATAATTATTATATAGCTTGATGTAGAAATATAATAGTAGACACTGAAAGTCAACACTGAGTGGCGACGGTCTGTTTCATGTTTGGACATAATCTCCAAGCTATTGAATTAGATAATTTTATGTATATCAATAGATAGCATTATTATTATTATTTTATTTTTCTTTATTTTCTTAGCATTTATATCTACTTATAATCCCTGTAACTTAGTTTTTTTATATTTCATACAGACCACTTCAACTTAGATCTTAAAAGAGAAGTCACTACTACCAACTTAATTCGGTCCTTCTCTCCATTTAAACTAAGAATTTGCAAGAAATTTCAAAACTCACCCCTACTTATTAGATATCAGCCTCTGACTTGTTAGGCATGGGAGAGTATTTATAAAAGTTTCACAGAAAAAAAAAATATATATATTTGTTTAAATGTTATTTTAGGATTATAACTTTTAGTAAAAATAATTGATTTCCTGTATCATAAGTCACTGAACTTTTGTTCAAAAATAATGAAGAAGGCTTTAATTCAGCACAAAATTTCTAAAATTGTATATAAGTATAGTAATAAATATAGTAATACTATGACTTCCTGGAACCTTGTAGAACTTGTTTATGTTATGCTATAGCTATAAACTATTAAATGCGTTAAAAATACATAAATACAATCCAATTACATCATTAGCAAATTAAAAAAAATAAATAAATAAAGATTCTGTTTTTTTTGTGTGGGTGGGGGTATCCTTTTTCAAGAATTGTTGGTGATGTTGGGGGGGTAATTTTAGCTTATTGCCAAAGACACTGAAGATGGTGAAAACATTGTATCGGAAAGGTTATTTCTTCTACAACTTTTTTATATATATATATATATATATATATATATATATATATATATATATATATACTAAATATTTTATACATGCTTCAAGATGCTGTCTCCTGTGGGGAAAATATATTTTATTTAATGTCAGTTGTTTTGAATAATAATGGCTTCTATGATTTTGAGTCTTCACTTGCTGCTGTAGAGTATTTTAATATTTACCAATATATATATATATATAGTGGACTCTCCTGTCGTATTTGACATATGAAGGTCAGCAACTCATTTCCTAGGAACTGATAGCCCAGCACATATGATTTGATTGTAATGGTGAAGGCTTTATGCTGAACCAACCACACTTTTTGGAGGGCTGAATACTGAGACCTGGTGCACTACATTGCTCAAGGTCCCCAAATAACCTTCCGCAGTTTTGAATTCAGAGTTGTCCTTCTAGACTAGTTGCCATCCAAGGGCATAGGATCCAGTCTGTCCTGCTATTTACCCATAGCTGGAGGGATAAGAAGAGGGTTGTACATTTCCCAAAGGTGTTAGCATGTAAGTGAATGTAATGGATTTGACCAGAATTTGAACTCGGCCCTCCGAGCCCCCTCAGTTCAATCTATTACTCCACCGTATATATATATATATATATATATATATATATATATATATATATATATATATATATATATATATATATATATATATATATATATATATATATGTGTGTGTGTGTGCACACACACTCTTACAAGGTCTGATCAAAATGTTTTGGGACTGGTGTTTTTAAAAAAAAAAAAAAAAAACTACACATCAATTCAGTAAAATCTGCTTCAGCCAGCTCTATATTCTTAATGCTTTTTCTTTCCTAAACTAATATAAGTCCACACAGTACCTTGAGTGGCTCTTGGGTCTTTGATTAAATTTTGCTCTCATCAAAATATCCTCCTTTAACCTTGATGACTGCAATACAAATTTTTGGCATTTGTTGCAAAAGTTTCTCAAATTACAAGTTCAATAATTTATTCCATTCTTTTTTCAATGACTTTAAGAGTTTTTTGACATGTTTTTTCACTCTTCTGTCAAGTTCATCTCATGCTAATTCTTGGGGTGGCTTCAAACTTTTGAACTGTAGTGTGTGTGTGTGTGTGTGTGTGTGTGTGTGTGTGTGCGTGCTCTTTATTTTCCTAATTTTCTTTTGTCTTTTTGCTTAGATGATATGGGGAAACTTGCACCGATCTTTGTAAAAAAGAAGGAAAAAGAAAAAGAGAAAGTGATTAGTGAGGTTGATTCAGAAGCGCTAAAATTGCGGCGGGCATTTTTGATGAGCGGCTTGACAGAAGAAGCTAAAAGGCAGCAGCAGCAGCAATCCAATGCAATGCTCTCCCTGGCAGCTGTTAACTATCCCCCAATTCCTGTTGAAAACCATGTCCAACAAATACCTTTTAAAGAGGATGGAAATGAAGGAATGGATCTAGATGTATGGAATCTAACCAAAGTCTCCTTACCTGGCCTGACAGTTTCAGATGAAAATTTAAAAGTTTGCTTTTTGGAAACACCTGAATGGAGTTGCCCTTCTTCTTTGCTGAGGACCCATGAAGATAAAGAGATTCAACTTTTATCAAACAAGGTAAGACTTACACTTCAGCTTCTTAATATGCAATTAAACAAGTTTTGTTCTTTCTTGTTTTAACATATTGCATGAAACTGGTAAAATCCAAATAGTATCAAGCCTCTGTTAGTGTCTACTAGAATGCTAATCCCTGTTTTAGATGCATGCTCAGATATACTTGTGTTTCTTCAAAAAAATGTTCATTTTTGTCATTTGGTCAGATATAAGTAGATCAAGCCAAGAAATTTGCAGCACCCCCTCGTATGCGTGCTTGGTCATACACATGCCATGTGAAGTGCTAGAAAAAAATTCTTTTAGCCTGACCAAAGAATTCAAAAATAAATTTTAATGTTTTGTCAGGGGATCAGGCCATATACGTTTTAGTATCCCTTATATAGTGGTGGCATATATATAGATATATATATATTTTTTTTTCTCTGCAGGCATTTTCTGGTCACAGACTTCTATCTGAATCTGATGTGAATGCTGCAATTAAGATTTTGTCAGAAGCCAATCCTTCATATCCTGTTCGACGCTTCTATGAAATGGCCAAGACAAAAAACAAAAACAGTTTAAAGCCTGAAGTGGAAAGCACAGAACCTAAAGAGAAACCTGGTAATTGGCTTTTTATTACAAATGTGAAATGTTAAAGTCGTTTCTTTACAGGTCTATGAAATGATTATAATTCTTGTGTAGAGAAAACAAATGTATGTTTCAAAACATCTTCAATGAATTTAATTAATTTATTAATGTAGATGATAAATTACTAAAAAAAAAACTGGCTAGTAATTTTCACTATCTGTCGATATTTCTGAGATCAGGTATTATGTACATTATTTACATTATTCGAACTATTGTCCTCATCTTTGCCGCCATATTTATCACGTTTCGGCCGTTGTACACTCCGGCCTTCTTCAGGTGGTTGGAATGTCGAACCGAACCCTTTATTTCGCTCACTGGGGTAGACTGTTCTAGTTCCACATGCTCAAGGACACATGACACAGTGGATAAAGGCGTTGGTTAGATCTAGTGACATAACCCAAAGAGTGTGAGTTCAATGCCCGGTTAAGGCAGTGGAGAACTTTCAGAGGGAAAATTAGCAGAAGATAACTGATAACTAACATCCATTAAACATGGCATGTGGAACTAGAACAGTCTACCCCAGTGAGCGAAATTAAAGGGTTCAGTTCGAAATTCCAATCACCTGAAGAAGGCTGGAGCGTACAACGGCTGAAACGTTGTGATAAATATGGTGACAAAGATGAGGACAATAGTCTGAATAATGTAATTTTCACTAATTAAATTTTTGTCTTTTTCATTTGTGGAAATTCTATTGGGTGTGACCAAAAATATAAATTTTGTGCTGGTGAGACAGAAAAGTAATAGGAAGAGGGGGGAAAAAAAGTCAAACAATTATGTCTTGACTCCAAAAAGAAGAGGTATTGTGCAAAATTTCATGAGAAAATTAGCGTGGGGGTGGGGGATGTGTTTTAATGGAATGACCCACACTCTCTATCACCTATGTGGACTGACTATATCAGTAGCCATATATAGTGAGCACAGGATATAACTGGGGACTTGCTTCGGCAATTAGTTGGATATTTGTCTCTAGCTGTGCTGGTCAAACTCTCTGTTTTCGAGAGGAATCCAGATGAAGCTATACTGAAGGGCAGTCTCTCGTCTGGAGTGATAGACAGCTACCCAACCCTGTGTATATGGAGTCTACAGGGAATTTTTGCCTGAGCCTACATGCTCGGTTTTGCCTCACATTAAAAAATGGTCTTGCCCCACATTCTGTCTTGTGGGGGAGATAAGGTAAATATCCTTGCTTCGGGAATTACTATATTGCCATCCGATTCCCTGTCTTTCAGTAGTGTCTTCTCTTTTACAATAAACCTCTCTTTCTTTCATCAATGCACATGTTACTGTTCATTCATTCAAGTACCATCTTTATTTGTAACTTCTTTAAGGATACAATAATAATTGATGAATATAAAGTATAGATATTCAGAAATTTTTGTGTGTGTATATACACATGTGGACGTGCCTGGTTGGTTTGTTTTTGAGATAAGAGATTATAATTAAAAATTTTGAAATCGCTACACAAAAGCTTTCATGTTTTAATACAATGATTGTGTTTTTTCAGGCAATGGTAAGTAACTAATCACCATTTACTTACCATTGCCTGAAGAAGTACAGTCATAGTATTGAAACCTGAAAGCTTTTGTGTAGCAATCTCAAAATGTTTTTATTATAATCTCTTATAAAGATATAATAAGATATTGCTCTACTTTGTATTGAGCACTTTTTTAAAAGTAAATGCTATGAAAACTGGATTTTTACTGTTCTTTCTGTCATTTGTGTGTGTGTGTGTGTGTGTGTATATATATATATATATATATATATATATTACTGATGACTGTTAAGGTTCTGTGATTAAGCTTTTTATTTAATTTTTCTTGTGTTTATATAAATGTTTTCTTTTCTGCGCATAAAGTGTGTAAAAATTGTCCAAATGTTCTATATATCTGAGCATTTTGGCTAGTCTATTAGCCACTATCAGGGATGTTTTTCTTTTTCTTTTTTTTTTTCTTTTTTTTAAACTGTGTTGATTTTTTTTATGTTTATATAGTGATGAGAATGTTTTATTTTTCAAACATTGTGGCAATATTTGTAGTTGATGTTATTGAATGATGGCTTTTCTTTTTTATTATCTGTGCTTCTATTATTTTTTTTTTTTTTTTTTTGGGGGGGTATGAGACTATTACACTTGTATTTTTTAACAAATATGTTGCAGATGGGTTTTGCTAAGCTTGTGTTTAAATGAGTCCTAATTGAGCTAGGGTCAGAGAAGTCTAACATGAGTCTTCTTGATAGGCATATGTAGTGAAGTGTCAAATATTATTCATGAATTTGGTTGGATCAGGAATGCAATTCCTTAAGAGGAATTTAAATTTATATTGGTTCTCTATAACTTAGATTTTGCAGGTGAGTTGTTGATAAATATAAGATATTAAAAGTACTTATGAAACACCTTCACACAATCAAAAGTTTCATATGCACCAATATTGGATATGGTAACACAATCATCAGGTGATCCGGAGAGACAGTTATACATTAGAGTTGTTGGTGTTTGCTAGATTTTAAATCAGTTCGCTCATCCCCCACCCCTCCCAGTGTCAGAGATCCCTGTTCCTGTGAAGGCACAGCCTACTTCTGAAGAGTTATGTGCAGAAGTCACAGAGGAGTGTCAATGGTGGACACAGCTGGGCAAGTACTGGCCCTTCTGACAGTACATTGCAGGTCCTTGCTTGGGAAGAAATGATTAAAAAAGAACTCGCTTGTTGGACATAGATGGAATTGTTCTGGTTATATTGACATGTCTGTTTGCAGTTTTCTATGAACAAAAGCCCTGTTTATTATCAGTAATTGTTTTAATGAAGTCCTCTTGATATAACTTCATAATTTAACTTTAACATAAATGATGCATTCATTTTTATTGAAGAAGCTAATTCTTTGTATTATGGAATTCAAATGGATTTCAACCCTAAACGCCCAATCCTCTCACTGCCAACAAAGACAGGAAGAAAATCCCAGAAATGTTATATATACTTAGTCTAGTCTTTTTATCAAAGGTTTAATTTTTCAGCTGCAAAAACAAATGAAACAAAGGGTCGCAGTGTCACCAGGCGAAGTCTTGGACGAAGAAAAGCTACCCAGAATGCCACAAACAAGGACGTAACTGAAGAAAGTGCCCAGAAAGAGAACGGTGACAAAATGGACTGTCCTCTTGAAGAGAAAGGTCAGTAAGCAGGTGGACAAAAAAAATTTTTTTTTTTTTTTTTTCTTTGCTTTATACTGATTTTTCCATCGTTATTTATTGCCAGTTAGCATAAAAAATTTCTGGATTATGTTGATAAATTTATAAGAATTTGGGATATTGTTATAATTTGATAATATCCTTATCTTTGTTGTTTTTATCAAAAATAGGCATTAACCTTCAAGGCTGCAAAAAATATATCTAAAAAGAACTGTTGAAAATAAAGTATTCAAAGTTGATTTTATATGAAATTAAATTGATTTCTCTTTCAAATGATACCAATTTTAGTATTATTATCTTTTATTATCTTGGTATTATTACTGGTTATGAGATATGGTTTTGAAAATCTACAACTTTTAAAACAACCTGAATATTTTTGACATCTCTTTATTACTAGTGTACACTAAATTGCAGCGCTACTTTTGCGAAACTTGCTGGTGTATTTGGGAACTTCCGGCCCTAAATATTATACTATACTATCTACATTGTTAAAAGTAGATTATATGAAATTTCCAACAAGTATTTGCAAACAATTATCTCAAATACCTTTTTAACCATATCAGCCCTTAAGAGATTTCAATTGTTAAATCCCTGGAGTCTTGACTGAATCAATAAAAAAAATCTGAGTATGTGATGATAATGCAATTGAGATATCTCAAGAACTGCTGAAAATAAAATAAAAATAAAGTAGATTGATTTCTCTTTTCAAATGATACTAAATTTAGGCTCCTGGATAATATGATTATGAAATATGTTTTTGGAAATCTGCAATTTTGTAAAAGTTATTGATTTCCAAAAAGTTGTAGATATTTGGCACCTCTGGTTGATCATGTGAGAAGTGTCATGCTGCATTGAAATACAATGCTGCTAGATTGCAATTCAGATGCTCTCAGACTGTAATCAGGTAAAGACTTTCATTTAGGAGCTTCTGGCCTTTTAAAGGTAAAAATATCATTTTTAAAGATGAGATTGGTGAATTCATCTCTGTCTGTTGATTCATTTTATATAATTTTAAATTGCCATTTTTGGGGGGATATATTTGTTTGTGCACAACCAAGAATACTCTTATTAACAAAAAAAACACAAAGAGCTGAAGTTTGAGAAGTTGGTTGGGCTGAGAACTTTTCAGCATATCCGTGGGGGGATATCTATTAAATAGATAATAAATAAATAAATAAAAAAGTAAGAAAAGAAAATGCATATAAATAAATTTATGCAACTACTGCTATGAATTCCAGAATAGCCTACCTCTTGGCGTTTGGAATGGTTTCGGTCCAAAAATCAACTAGATGTATCTCAATCCAGGTAACCGTTTGGAATTCTTTGTAGGTTACCTGGATTGGCATACACCTGCTGAAGGCATGAGAGCACGACAGCTGAAACTTTGTGGTAACAATAATGAAAATGTGGACAATAGTCCACTTGTAAATAAATTTCTTTACCACTTCAGGTATATGTTTAATGCTTGATAAAAAAAAAAACAATAGCAAATATTTGAATCTCTTGTTTTGAGGGACTTAAGGCTCCATGAGAACAGAAAATGAATCTGTTTGTTTCCTTGTAAAATGATTTCAAGGGATGTTCAAAATATCCATTAACAGATGAAAAAATAATTTGTTCAAGATTTTGGAAGAACCTTATTCAGTGCACCTTTGTGTGTGGTGGGGGGGGAGAAAGATGTGCTGAAAAGTTGTCAGCATACCAAACCTCCTTTCCAAAATCACTATTCCACTGTTTTAACATCAGAAAACTGAAGTGGGTTGAACTGAGGCCTTTTACACAGCAGTTACTCTTACAGTACCAGGCCTCTTACAGTACGTTACATAAAACTAGATAGAATATCTGTTAATAAATTCAATTGAGTCATCTTGCCTCTCCAAAGTGTGGAGCATTTCTGTGAAACTCTGAGTCGGGAGATAAGATTTTGAATATTTCAGTTCAATTTATTGACCATTTATTTATTTATATTCACATACTTATCTGAAACTTTCTAGACATTGTCGGTTTACGGCTATATCACATTGAAATGCCAGTTCTCATACAAGTTAAGCAATGTTGAAGCTGGTCAGTATCTAGATGGGTGACTGCTTGGGAATATGAGGAGCTGTAAGCTTGGATGTGCAGGTGGTGTAATGGATAATAGCTCAGAATGGGAAATCAGAGAGCCAAGTTCTAATTCCAGTTGGGTTTGTTATATTCACTTATACACAAATACCCTTGAGAAAGATTATGAATCTACTTTTTCTTCTCCCAATTATGGGTTAATCAGTAAATCATAATTATCTCCTCAAAATTCTTACAATCTAAAAAATATATTCTAGCTTTAAATAACCTGCAAAAGGTTGATAGTTTGTAAAAACAACAAGTCAATTTAGACATTGTTTAGTTCTCATGGCATATCAGGAATATGGCCTTTTGAAAAAAGTTATATGAGGGCCACATTTGTGCACACCAAGGTCAACACCGAATGACAACAGTTTATTTTATACTTGAACACAATTTTGGGGCCATTCAGTATTGATATCAGTGTCCACCTTTATATTTACACATGCTCTATCACTGATATTGAGCACTTTTTTCCCTAAATATAGGATATCTTAAAACTATATATATATATATATATATATATATATATATATATATATATATATATATATAACCACTGATGTCTTTCATATAGTAAAGAGGTTAAAAATTCCCTTACTCTCTGCTGTGTGACAGTAGCTGGGGGGCAGAATCTCTGACCGATGCCAAATCAGTCGGGTTTCAATCCCAGCTTGAAGCAATCGGATGTCTAGCCACACTGATGATCTGTGATACAGCAAAACAGTCTGTCTGTGGATGACACTATATAAGTTTGTCGCTTATGTAATCGGTGTTACTTTAGCATTGCGATTCCAGAGATTTGAAGACAGACCCTCCAGCAATCAATTCTTCTACATTTAAGGGAGTATCAGCAATAAAAGTAACACCCTTTTTATTTATTAACTTTTATCAAATAAAAATAAATTACAGTAATTTAAGATGGCTTAAGATTAAATATGGCTTACATATTTGGGAATGTTTAGTTTTAATTTTTAGCTGAGTTGGATAGGATGATGTGGAGCAGTTGATTGACTATCACGATCACCAGACTTTTTCTTGTAAGGTGTACTCAAAGATCTCATTCACAGGCTTAAACCGAAAACAATTCCTGAATAATTTTCTGAAATTAATGTAGAAATGTGTTAAATGGTTTGTTGAAGTGTTACTGATAGGGTTCAGTGTTGTATTGACCATGAAGGGGAGAATTTTAATACGTTAAAAAGTTTGTTGATCATAAGAAACCCTGTTTTGATGTGACAAGACTTATAAATTTTCTTAAACTATTGTAATTTTTGTTTGCATTCTTAGGCTGTGATATTTTGTGGACCGAGAAGTACCAACCTCAACATTCAGTTGAGGTGATTAGCAACTGTGGCAATTTGAAGAAGCTAAAATCCTGGCTACTTGAATGGAAGCAACAAACTGACCGTGAAATTCGTAAATTGAAAAAGCTGCTTAAAAAACAAAGAAAGCAAAAGAAAAGCAAAGGTAAGCTGAACCCACACACACATTTGTGTATAAAATCTTCTGACAGAATTTTCCCTGTAGATCATATTTTTTAAGGGGATCATTCTAAAGCTTTACTATTTGTTTAACTCTAATTTTCAATAGCAAAGGCAGTATTTAATAAATAAATATGACACAAGTTTAATCCACTGTCATAATAACAACATCTGGTGATGGGGGCAACAAAAAAACAGAACAAACAATAATCATAATTCTAATTTTTGCCTATTACATAATCTCTTGTCATTTTCAATATATGAGGGTACAGCAATGCCATTCTTAAAACTGAACTGAACAGCCAGTACTATCCACACATATGATTTGATCAGAGTGGTGAAGACTTGTACAGAATCAACCACACTTTTTGAAAGAGCCAAATACAGAGAATTGGTGCACAGGGTCTCAAAACAACACTACTTGGGTTTTGAATTCAGTCGTCATTCTCTTAGGCCGGTTTTGCCACTCAAAGCTATAATGAAATAATATAATCAAGATAGATCTCAAAACAACACTACTTGGGTTTTGAATTCAGTCGTCATTCTCTTAGGCCGGTTTTGCCACTCAAAGCTATAATGAAATAATATAATCAAGATAGATCTCAAAACAACACTACTTGAGTTTTGAATTCAGTCGTCATTCTCTTAGGCCGGTTTTGCCACTCAAAGCTATAATGAAATAATATAATCAAGATAGATCTCAAAACAACACTACTTGGGTTTTGAATTCAGTCGTCATTCTCTTAGGCCGGTTTTGCCACTCAAAGCTATAATGAAATAATATAATCAAGATAGATCTCAAAACAACACTACTTGAGTTTTGAATTCAGAGTCGCCATTCTCTTAGGCCGGTTTTGCCACTCAAAGCTATAGGACCCAGTCTGCCCTGCTATTTACTCATAACTGGAGAGAGAAAAGATGGTTTCATGCCTTTTCCAAGGTTACTAAACTCAACTTGAGTTCAAAGTTTGCTCACTGTTTACTCAATCTGAGCCACTAACCACTGCCTATCTCCACACACACACTCATTGTATTCATAGACATCAACACTGCATGATGGCTGTCATAACCTCAATGTGATTTTAAAACATATATCGCCAAGTTTTGTGTTATCACTGCCCACTTTACTACTACTACTCTCTCTGCACTGACAATCTGAGTGTTTCTGATAGTAGATCGCAAAATCTTTGTGAGCTGAGGATGCATTAGAAAGATAAAAGGGACATGTCTGTTAACATAAAAATATCTGTTATTGGGAACCTTTATGTAAAGTTATGAATCCACCCCTTCTGCCCCCAGCTATGGGTTAAAACTTGTATTACTAAATCAAATCATTGTTATCTTTAAAAAGAAAAAAATAAAGGAAAGAAAATTCTCACAATCTAAAAATATATTCTCTGGCTTTAAATAATCTGCAAAAGGTTAGTAAACCGTAAAACATTCACTCAAGTGCTATATGTGATACATGCTTGGCTGATCATGTCTATTTTGATTCATGGCTGACTAGGCAGAAGATTCCCACAGTAGGCTGCTCTTTCTTTCTGTAGTAGACTGGTTGCCAAGGCTATCCTGCTATTCTCAACTCATAGCGGAGTAGATTCCTACTTTTCCCGTGGTATCTGCATGTAAGTAAATGGAACCGACCTGACCAGAATTCTAACTAGGCTCTGCAATTTTTAATTCAGAGCCATTATCCATTACACGTCCTATTGATTATACTATTTCTATTTCTTTGAATAGAATAGTGACTTACAAAGTGTAGCCTACATTTGGTACAAGGACTTCTTTGAATAAAGTAGAAATTTTTAGGGATATTGTCACTTAAAAGAAGAGAAAATTTCAAATCCCTGTTTAAATGTTAAAAAAAGTAAAAACAATCAAAAACAAATCCAAGTAAAATTGTGAAATTTAATATTGATTTTATTTTAATTATTTTATTGGTGAACAAATTTGCAGTAAAAAAAAAAAAAAAACTCAAAAAACAACAAACATCTAAATACAGCTGTCTTTTTATAACAGTTGTTTCCCTTGAACCATCGTTTAGAAACTATACTCTCAGTTGGGGGTAAAAATTGGAATAACCGGAAAGTTTGCAATAAATTGGCGGGGGTGGTTAGGAAAGGATTACAAATAAATCTTTCAAACTTTGGCCAGACCTTGAAGAAATAAAATCAAAACTAAATGTTTATCAATGTCTTTAAATAAAATGCTTTAACTATATGGAAAATATTTCCATTAAAGTTTTTATTTGTAATCTTTAACACTCCAAATAATCATAAGTATTTCATCCTCATCCATTGGGTATAGGTGGTCACACAACTGCAGTAACATCATCTTCAATTTTCAGTTAGTCATTTTCCTGTTGCCATAGTAGGATATGATGACACTAACACAAAATTCAACCGCACTACTTTTTGATGATCAATGTTGCATGCAGTGGCAGTACAAACATTTTGTTTGATAAATTAAGTCACCTAAATACAGCGTGCTGAAGGTTTTAATCATTTCACCCTAAGTAAGGCAGTAAAGCCACTAAGGCACAAGAGGTTGCTGAGTGTTAGAAAATATAAGAAAAAAAATACTATTAAGGAGAGAGAACAATAAAAGAACAAAAATTAAGAAGACAAGATTTTGATTGACATTGCATTTAAATTTTTGAAGATGAAAGTAGATTTAGAAGCAAGAAGCCAGAAGAGAGTTCCACAAGCCAGACATGCGTTTTACCGACTTTGATATAAATGTCAACAGTTTAGTCAACTAATAAATATATATATCCAATAATGTGCTGAAATAATGTTGAAATGCTTTAATAAACTGAAAATATTTCCATTATGTCCATTTTCCTTGTATTGTTGTTGTGTAAACTTTTTCTTCCTCAATTCTTAATAAGCAAGAAGATGGTTCTTATTAAGTTAGGGGTATAAAAAAATCATCTACTATGGTTTATTTGGTACCTGGGAGTATTTTTTTTTTTTTTTTTGATGGTGGGATGATATTTAATTGATTTTGTGATAGTTTTATTTTACTTTTGTGAGCAATCAAATCTTGAGTGCAGTTTTAAAAATTAACTTTGTCACAGGAGAAGACAGTAGTTCAGCTTCTTCTTGGATGGATGATGACAGTAACTTTGAAACATCAACAAGTGAGAGTGAAGATGACTCTATATGTAACACAATGTTGCTGACTGGACCTCATGGAGTTGGCAAGACATCTGCCATCTATGCATTGGCTGCAGAGCTTGGTTACCAGGTTTGTTTTGTTGTTTTTTTGTTTTGTTTTATTAGTTATACTAGAATTTCAAATAGGGCAGTTGGGGGGGAAAACGTAGCTGCAAATTTTTTAATGTCTTATTGCTCATCATATTAGCAAAGAGCCTACGTCTGCAGAAGCCTAGTCGATTAAAGCATTTATTTGTGAATTTTATTCCAGAATTTGTGTGTTCAATCTCTGGGCTGGATAGTACAGACTTAGACTTAATAGAAACAAGGCAAGCTTTCTTGTGTAACCCCATGGAATTGGTTAGTTTCAGTGCCTGAATTTAGTAGGAATTAAACCAAAGACAGTATAAAGCTTACTAATAATTAAATCCAGAAATTTTTTATATAATAAACAATATGCAAATTGGTAGCCTGAAAAGAAATTTGCTGAATTTTGTTTGATCTGTGAGCAATATTAAATTCTTCTGCAAATACGGAACAGAGATTATGCTGAAAAGAAAATTTATCTTGGAAAATCAATGCTTCTTTCGACATTAAGCTATAAACTAATTGATTTTTCTTACATATTCTTATATTGCTTACCTTTTCTTATGCCCATACAACACTACACATTAACCCTCTACCTTGAGTGGCTCTTGGGCGTTTGGAAAAATTATTGATTAAATAAAGGATTTGATTCAAAATTTCTTCAAGGTTACCCAGATTGACAAACACCTGAAGAAGGGTAGAACAATAAAGCAATGTGATAACAGCAAGGATAATAGTCCAAATGTAAATAACTCTGCCTCTCATAAATTCAGACAGAAATTATGACCAATGATTTTGAAGATTTATTTATTGGAACATCTACGTTCCTAGCATGAACGTGCTCTGCCTACATCAAAATTCAAACAGCATTTTTCAACATGTTACAATTTCATTTTCGATGTACAACTTTTGTATGATAATAATGTGATTTAATGTTATGCTTTTATTGTATTTTTAGATTTTTGAGGTCAATGCTTCCTCAGCTCGCAGTGGCAAGAAAATTCTCACCCAGTTGCAGGAAGCTACACAATCTCATCAAGTCTCAAAGGACAAAACTGAACGAACAACAAATCTTGGCCTCGCAAGTAATTTGACAACTCAAATGAAAGGTATTCTTTTTCTGTTTATTTCTGAAAGCGGCAAAATTGCAATTATTTTAAAGTTTGATCCAAACTGACTAATAAACAAACTGACTAAAGCATTTGGAATTAGTCACGCAAACCTTGTTCAAATAACTTCTTTTTTTTTTCTAGTATAGGTTTCTATCATTAGCCTATAATAGCAACTTGTATTTTAATCAAATTGCATTATTAACACTGTCCAGTAAGATGACAGTACATTATACCAATTACATTAAAGATTATTAATTACATTGAAAAAATTTTCATAGCAAAAAGTAGGAGTAACAGAAAGTATAATTTTGAACTGAACTTCCTATACAATAATTTAGGGATGAGGGTAGATTTTTTCCTTCTGCTTTCATTGGGGGAGTACATTGTCCTTGTTCTGCTTTCAATAAGGGGGTAGATTCTTCACATTCCCCTGCTTAAATGAGGTATCACATTAATTCTTTCAATTTGTCTTTGTGTTGCTTGCTGATTAAAATTTCTATGATCTCATGGCTGGAATGAAATTTACTTATTAGAAAGCTAGTTTAATTTTCAATCACTTTTATTTATTTATTTTTTTTTTTTAGTCAGGTGCCATGCATGATACATGCTTAGGTGATCATGTATCTTTCAATATATGACTGACGAGGCAGTTTTTTTTTTTTTTTTTTAAGTTATTTGACACAAGTAGCACTCCTAGGGTGACTGGGCATAACAAAAGGGAGTACCATCTTAATATTATGTAGAGAACATAGATTTTAAAACAAGGTGGTGACATTAAGGCAAGAGTGGCAAAGGTCAGCACAGCTTCCTTTTTTTCTTTTTTTTTTCTTTTTTTTTTTTTTTTTTTTTTTTTTTTTTTTTTTTTTTTTTTTTTTTTTTTTCTTTTTTTATAGCAAGTGTGGAATACAACTAAGATAAACAGAAGCACCAAAGTCAAGTTTTATAGGACATTTGGTTTTCCTCATCCTATTATTATGATTTTGAGACCTGGAAAATGAAACTGGGGGATTACAAGGTTATTGACTTATGGCAGCTTAAAAGGGTAATCTTTAAGATTAAATTGCAAGACGATTTGAAAACGGCAGAACTGCTCTGGTAGAAGCCTTTAGTGTTGAGATATGGCAAAAAAGATGCAGGTTCATTGGCCACTTTTTTTTTTTAACAAAATATGTAAATAATGACTGCAATATGGCACTGGCCTGGCCTCCCAAAGAGAAGGGGAAGCCCTTGAATGACATGGTGAAGGACTATTGAGAAGGGGAGGGAAGCAATAGGCTAGGGTAAGGTATGAATGGCAGCTACAAACAGAGCAGAGTGCCAAAATGTAACAGGTAGATAGAATACAAGGATGTTTTTGTCATGTAGTGGTTATTGGAGCAGAAAGTGGGATTTGTGTGTTGAGTTCTAAAGGCCTTTGCACAAATACTTTTAGGAAGGTTTGAATCTATCTTTTTTGAACTTCCACCCAGCTATGGGTTAAATAGCAGGACAGTCTGGTCTCTTGAGCTTTGGTTGCCAGCCAGTCTAGTAGAAGTACAACTCTAAATAAAAAAAAAAAAAACAGTTGGGCATTGATCTAGCAACTTTACTGCTTATAAACTTATTTAGTACAGAAACCACAGCAATACCTAGTGTAGTGAAGCTACACAGACATCTACAGGGTTAATATATAAACATACAAACAACATAGAAATATTGTTGATTTTTAAGATAAAGAATGCCTTTTATTGACAGCATGAAATCAAAAATGTGCTTTATCATAAACAGCAAATCAAGAAACATGTTTTCTTTTTTTTTTTTTTTTTTTTATAAGAAAGTTGTTTATTTGTTAATCTCTCTTTATCTTGGATTATCTTTTTTATTGTAGAACCTGCCAAAACGACTCAGAAGAAAATAGCACAGACATCATTTGCCAATTTTTTTAAGTCATCCAGAAACAGTAAAACTGATTCTGTGAGAGATTCCCAGAAAATAAAACCTGAGACTGCAAGCGGTAAAAAAAAACAAGGTAAGTTGATGATTTCTGGTGTCTGTATAATTGCTCATCTATAGGTGATAGTGGCTCGGATTGAGGAATCAGTGCCGAGTTCAAATTCTAGTTGAGTTTGTTACATTCACTTATGTGCAAATACTTTTGGGAAAAGGTATGAATTCATTTTTCTACCTCCAGCTATGGTTTAAATAGCAGATAAATAACTGGGTCCTATAGCCTTGGATGACGACCAGACTAGGAGAAGGACAATTATGAATTCATAACCTGAATAGAGAGCAACTAAACCAGTCTCCTCTCCTGGTGAAAAGAGTAAACGTAACACCAGCAGCAGAAAAAAAATCAAGAGCAGATGAACTCCTTATAGTCAACAGCCAACCACCAAACTATGGGTTAAATACTCTCACCAACCCGCACTTAACCAGGAGTGGTGAATATGGTTACAACACTGAAGACATGGTCAAGGAGGGAGGAGTTCCTCCAACAGGAGTGAGGAGGCCCTGAATTTGGATTTGAATTATGATGGTTAGAGAGGCAAAAACAAAAGACAATTATTAGATAGCTTTATTGATTCACTCCTTTTTCAATTTTATTCTACACCAAAAAGGGTTAGATATGACAAATCAATAGTGGGTAATTGAATGACAAAAATAGAAAAATGTCCTATGTAACAAGTTTAATTCCTAGGAAGAAAAAAAAAACCTTTAGACTAGTAATGGTTAATAATAACCATTATCAGACCTGAAGAAGTTTCTCTTATGGACGAAACGTAGTATGTTGGAATTTAACCACTATTAGTCCAAAGAAGGAAAGGCATAGTACAAAGTAAGTAACAATTGTTAATCCAAAGAAGTTCTCCCAGGGATGGAACGAAGTACATAAGTATTTAACAATTATTAGCCTGAAGAGGCTGCTCCTAGATGTATAACATATTTTACATAGTAATTTTTCCATTTTGTTGTTCACTTATTCACTCGCCATATATATATATAGATATACGTGTGTGTGTATATATATATATATATTATACTGTTTAAAATTTTCTATATTTATGATGAAAAAATGCTCAATATTGATGATTAAATTTGCTTATATGTTCCTTATCCTATCATTCTGCTGGATTCTAATCCATATTTGATCCTAATATATATATATATATATATATATATATATATATATATATATATATATATTTTTGTTTTGGGCTTAGGTTTTCAGTTTATACTTTTGCTGTAGTTGTTTTACTCAACGAGCTTTGATTCGAGATCATTTGTGCAGGAAAGAATAAACTATCAAGGATTTTGCCTTTCATTAAGAAAATTATTACTCCTTTGTCAGTTCTTTTTACAATAAAAATGATGGGGAATTTAGTTGGTTCTATTTAAATTTAGAACACCTTCCAAGGGAGATAATTAAATTTTTAGTGTTTTAAGTATTTGATGAAAGAGATATCAGTTTACACTTTCAAATACATTTTTGATTAAATAAAAACTTTTCCCCCTCTCTCAAGTCATAAATAATTAATTTTCAACGGAATTTTTAGTAGTGATAAATGATGACAGCTGAAGACCGTATTGTGTGTAATCAAGGAGAAACTTCAAGTTATACAAGTTGGAACTATTCAATGGGAAATAATTCATGCTTTCGCATTAATTACTGACGAAGTATTATTATTATTTAATAACATTTCAAATGCAGTCAAAGACAGGAGGGAAAAGCCAAAAATATGAATAAATAGCATATTTCTATTCTTTTTACATACAATAAATCTAGAATATAATTTAACAAAGGAAGTAGAAAGTTTCCCAATTTGAAGTTTAAATTTTCCTGATTTACTGCATAATTTTATACCCAGTGTTTTTTAAAAAAAAAACATTTCCATTACTTTAATTCTCTTACAATACTTTAATGACAAAGTAGAAAAATTTTCCGTTTTTGCCTGTTTCATCCTTTAGGACTTCATTGGACTTAAGCGATGTTTACATTAACCTAACGACATATGTGCATAAAGAAGAGTGGATGCTAAAATTTTACACTTGTAAATATAATTATTTTTTAATGTGTTCGGTTATAATATAGACTGGCCAATTTCATTTAGTTTCTTTAGTTTATATTTTTATCACTTTTCTTATTAAGTATTCCACATTGTGACAATAGTTCTGGTATATAAACATTTTATATCATTTTCTTACAATATTTAACTCATTTACAATTAAATATCATTTTTACTGAGAGTTCCTAAGGAAAAGTCTTTATATTAAAGACATTTTTATTGACAATAAACTCAGCCATATATGCAGTAACTTTTACAAAAAATTTTTATTAAATTTCAGGAACAGGGTGAATTTTCATAAACTTTTACAATGCTAATTGTATCAGAGGTTCAAATTATATTTCTATTGAGTATAATGGGGAAAAAATTTTAGCTACTGAATGGAAAGTTCCAAAAACATATCTCCATTTCTGTCTAAAGGACAAAAAAATAATTTTTAGATTATAATTTTTTCCATTTTTTTCTAATGGTATAATGTTTATGAACAATGAATTAATTTTTATTTATAACAAGTCTAGAAGGACATTAGCTTAGCTCCTGTGGAGGGCTTTTGGCTTTTTACCTTCAGCATTTTAAGTACATAAAAGTTATAAAAATTTAGAAATAATAAAATTATTTTATCTTTATTCAACATCTTAATTCAGCATAATCTTTCTTCATATATGCAACCAATCTCTGTAGTTTACATTTACTTTGTGCACAATTTTTATTTTCTTTTAAAATCGCCATTCTTCATGATCCCTTCACATAAAGTCCCTCTTAAAAGACATTAAGGAGTCCAAATTATGTAATATTTCAAATACGTCACAGTATGTGTGCTAGAAAATGAAAAAAAAATCCATATGAGCAATATACTGTGTTCCACTTAATTTTTAATTATGGTTTAATCAGACAATATCAATTGCAATTGCGGCAAAAACGAAATTAAACTTAAACTTTTGATAAAGGATTGTTTTTTTTTTTTGTTTTTTTAAACCTTTCACTGTGTTCGATATCTTAATTTAACTTTAAGTGAGTTGTTTAATTTTGAATCATGTGTAAGTGCAGTAGTTACTTCTGGTTGTTTGTGAATTGCCAAGATCAAAAAATAGACAGATGGACACATGTACGCTGTGATTTATTTATGTAGAAGACTAGCTTAAATGATGCGGATTTTTAAACTAGTTCCCACAGAGGGTTAATTGGACATCTTGCCCCAAACTAAAAGGAGCTCTGGCTGAGCTTAGAAAAAAGCAATGATAATTTTGAAGAAATAACTTTGAATTCCTCAGTTCACTCTGTGGAACTTCAAAGCCTCTCTTTAACTCAGATTTGGTTTATAAGTCCAATTCGGACTAAAAGACCAATTTGGGCCGAAATTCCAAATCAAGCAGAAAATTGAAGTTCAATTGAGTTGACTTCTTCAAATCACAAACTCTGCAGAATTTCCAAAAAATCACGCGTCACAAAAAATACTTTGACTTTAATTACTTGGCATTTTGAAAAAAAAAATAAATTTGAGGGAGATTTTAAACTGAATTTAAAAACATTTTTAAATTCATAAAGTTTTTGTGTTACTTTAAAACTCAGTATAAATTAAAAAGTTTTAAAATCACTAATTTTTTTTTTTTTTCTGTTATTTTAAAAATTTGAATTTTTAACTGTTCCCTCATCCAAACACAAATCCCAATGCTGGATGTTCAAGCACCAGATGAAAGTCAGATTTTCAATCCTGGGATCATCCTGATTCCACAAAGTATATGTCTATCTCAAGCAAGTGTGGTCCAAGTTAGAAGGGTTTTCAGATACAGACAGACGGCCAGAATTTGCTGTTTATTTAGAAGATAGATTTAAATGTATTTTTGGTTTGGAATTTCAATCTTGCAGAACTTGTATGATGCATAGGCAGAACATCCTTCTGATCAGACTTCACATAGCTTGGGCAATAAAAACAATACATGAATTGGTGAAAAAAAATAACAGCTACTTACACCAACTGAAATTTGCTTAGCAAAGCTCAGAACCACCTTACCAATCTACCATAAACACAAATAGACAGGGCATTTTGAGGGACATTACTGTTAAACAGCTTCCAGGGCTTATGAAATTGTTGCATTTATTCCTTAATGCCAGACTATAAAATGTCTAAAGGGTAACCATTCTTGCTCAGAAGCTTCCTAGCAAATTCAATTTCAGAATCTAATTCAGTTTTCAAGTATATGACCAATGTCCAGTGAACCAAGGTTTTAATCAAAATAATTTTCAGCTGTTTAGAATAGAAGGAATCCTGCCAGTTAATTAAACCTATAAAAGTACACTGATCTTAGACATCATGTATTTGATCTGTGTACCATGACATTGAGAAAAATGGAAGAACACCACTGCCCTCCTTCTCCTATGTGAAATGCAACGCTGGATGCAATTTATTATGGACTTCATGGAAAACCTCAACCTTGTTTTCAAAAGCAGAAATGGTGTCGTCTACATAGCTAACATAATACCTGGGTCCTTCAATATGAGCAAGTAGATCTTGCTAAAATATATATATATATATATATTATCTATTCTTGGCTATAAAAGACCATCCCTTCACTGTTTTGTCTATTTAAAGACATTTAGCGTTTGGATCCAAAGGAAGAGGCATTTAGTGTTCGGGTTCAAAGGTAGAGGCATTTAGCGTTTGTATTCAAATGAAGGTGGAGGTAAATTCAAAGGTGGAATTTTGGGTTTAAATGATTTCTTTGTATCCAACCAAGAAAGCCTTTCCTCTTTTATTTCCTAATCCTTGTTATTTTATTTATTTGAAGCTTTTTGTACAAATGGTGAGAAGAAGACTGGTAAGACTTTATCTTCGACTCTCAAGTTGGCCTCTGAGTCTTGCAAATCAGATCTTAATGACAGCAATTCAAATTCTGCTTTTGGCACCACCACAGATAAGATGAAGAAACGAGTCAACATTTCCCGTACATCACTCATCCTCTTTGATGAGGTAAGCATAAAACTTTTTTTAAATAATGAGTATGAGAAAAAAATAACGTTAAGCTATCAATGAATTCTTTGTCCGCACTTAAATTATCCTGCTGAATTTCAACTCATTTTACCTATAGTTAGAATTTGAGACATTTTGTTAAACTTGGTGGTAGAATGAACAAAACACCAATATTATCAGCAGTATCAGTGACCGAATGGTTAGAATGTTAGCTTTCCAACCATGAGAGCTGGTTTCAAATCTCACCATGTTCAATTTTGGCATGGGAAGACAATCCTATTTTGTGGTAAGTGCCTGAAAAGCATTCCAGGGGGAAAAAATCCCAAAATAACCTAAAAGGGTAAGGCTATAAAAAACATTTTCTTCTATGTCATTGCCATTTTTCATCCACTCACCCCCAAATGAAACTTTTTCCCCCTTCTCTTCTAAATTCCCTCCAGCCACAAGAAAAATATAGCAAAGAATATATTTTTCTGAAAGGAAGACCATTAAGGATTTCATTTTATTTAAAATAACTCTGCTTCTATTGTGGCGTTTTGGATAATCTTTTCTCAAATGTTCTCTACTTCTGGGGTAGTCTGTGAGTAGCTAGGGACATCTTGGCTGCTACATGTCTTCTCTCAGGACAGACTGACAGACCAGATCTTCCCTTTAACCAGCAAGAATTCTAACTCCTCTTACCACCCCTCTGTACATCTCTAAATTGACTCACAACTCACCAATGGGTGACTCTATAACTAACAATTCTTTGATGCTGCTTATATAAGCCTGTGATTGGAATTTCCTAACTTCCAGTCAAGTGGCACTTGATCCCCAAAGTTTTTATTTATTTTATTTCCCTTCAGCCTACTTATAGGACAGTGTGGGGGCCTGCTTGAAAGTTTTATTTCTAGAGTTTACTGTTTACACAGTCTTAGCCTAATGCAGATAAAATCACTTAGGACCCATTTTGTATGTATTCTAATCAGAGCCAGGTCCCATTGTATCATCCTGTAATACTCTATGGGCACTCTATGGCTGAAGTTAAAATCATCCAATAAGTTGCTTATTTGTTGATTTTTAGCTACACTCAGTTTTTTTAAACAAAAATACACCGTAAACACTGTAAACTTGTATTAAAATTAATGTTATAATTTTTTTTATCATTACTTAAAAGGAAGACAAGGAATATCTGATAATTTTTATTTTTATTTTTTTTTTTTTTTTTTTTTTTTTACATTCAATAAAATTGGTGAAATTAGACTTTGAAAAGTTGTTTACATCACATAACAGGGTGTTCCATGTGTATTCTTGTATGGAAAGGTTTTTTTTTTTTTTTTTGAAATCAGTAAAACACATTGATTTTAAAAATCAAATAATTAACTGATTTACAAGGCCTTATATTTCTAAAGGTATATTGCTTTACATATTATATGTTGCTATAAACATTTTTGTGAAGAAATATGTGGGCTTATGTTCAGCAGTTTAATCTGAGATTGTTCCCAATCTTGATTCTTGGCTTCATATTTTTCCTTGCTTTTAAAATATTTGTGACAATACTTTTTAATTATTAATGGAGCTTCTAAACAACTTAGAAAATCTTTTTTTGTTACTGTTACTGTTCTCCACCTGTGTAGATGATAAACTGATAAACACTTCATTTTTGGAAGATTAGGTGAGAGCGATTGCAAATTAAATAAGTTTAATTAGGAGGTCAGTTCGTTAAAACTTATATGAAGTGCTCAAATGCTGAGCTAGCTTCTTTTTAATGGTTTCATAACATTCACCAGCAAATTTTACATATACATGCCAAATTTGATTGATTTATCGTGAATAATTTTTTTTTTTTTTTTTTTTTTTTTATTAAAACAGGATTTTATTAATGAAAACACAAAAATGTTGACCCAATATTTACAAGGACAAAAGGTTTTTTTTTTTTTTTGCCTTTAACTTCAAATGCTTATATTTCAAAAAGTTATAGATGGATTTTGATAATTTAAAAAACAAGTCAATTTATATTTTATAAATATCTTATTTTTATAACAAAATCTAAAGTTTAATTTTTTTATGAGCATTGATAATGGAAGACCGTCATGTAACAATCCAGGAAATTACTCACAAAGTGGGAATAAGCACAGGATCAGTGCATTCCACTGTAACAGACGATTTGTGCATGCAGAGAGTATTGGTGAAATTTGCCTGCTCATTCCTCCACATAATCGAAGTTTTTTTAGTCAAGAAAACCACACCATTTATTCAGCAGGCTCCCTACGCTCCTGACTTAGCACTGTGTGACTTCTAGCTCTTTACCAATCTGAAAAACATGCTGAAAATGAGAAAAGTGATTATGGAGCTCCATAGCATTCCAATGGTTTTACCAATTGTGACAGAACTTCTGAGAGATGTGTGTGAACTCCGAAAACAAGTATTTTGAACTTGATTAAATAAAATTTGTGAAATGTACGAAATTGATCTTTCTTTCTTTCTTTTTTATACCCAAAGGTAGGATATTTATAGAACACAGAACCAGTTATATTTGGTATTTGTTGGATGACCATAAAACCTGTTTATTGCATAAGGAATATTTATTTTCTGTTTGCTTTATCTGTGTCTCTTTCTGTTTTTGCAGGTCGATGTTGTTCTTGAAGAAGACAAAGGATTCTGGGCTGCTATTCAAAATTTCATGCAATCAACCAAGCGACCCATCATTCTAACTGCTTCTTCTGCTGATATTATTGAACAGTTTGGCAATTGTTGTGAACACCTTAGCTTTCGACTCCCATCCTCCGTAAGTAGGACTGTTTCTTTCCCTAGACAAATATTTTCACAATCTTATTTAAGATTATAGATACACATGTATTTTTATTCATTTGTAAACCACTAATTAGACTCTAATGGATAGTTATTGCCACCAAAAGTACTATTGGCTATACTTGTTTGAATTCCAATCAACAATCTACAGCATTCATTTCATACTAATGCCTTTGGGAAAGTCATGTGAACACATCTCTTCACTTCTCAGTTTTGTGTTAAATAACATTGCAAATTGAGCTCTGTAGCTGTGGATGGCAGTTTAAGTGAAAGAAAATTCTGAATTAAAACCAACTGGGCATAGTGATATTGATTACACAACTTTAGCTTCTCCTGACATATATGTCTCCATCATGATAATGACTTATGGTTCTACCTCAAGGGCTTTGTTAGGCTTTGCTTTTCAAACGTGCGTATAATAATCTTATTCTGTCAGTAAATTTTTCCTTGAATTTCTGACCATTGAGATTCTTTTTTTATAATGAAAGCATTTTTGGTGCATTTCTGTGGAGAAGGCATTGCCGTGTAATTTCCATAGTGAAAGCATTTTCAGTTTATTATATTTTTCCTTTAACCCCTAAGAACTGAAAATTGCACTTCCTTGATTTCAATGCATGACATACATCTTAGATAATAAAACAAATGTTAAATCAGAAATCACAAAATTCAATCATTAACACTTCTGCTGCTCTGATGACGTGCATCTTTACAGAACTTACATGAGATGCTGTCATTGCATATATACATTTTCAGGATCACTATGAAAAGTCTGTAATTACAATTTGTATTATAAACAAACTAGTGTGTAGCGAACTGTGGTTTTTGTTTTATGCGTTGTGATATGAACACATGTGGAACTCTTGAAATAAAAAAGCCTACCACAAAAATATGACAGACTAGAGATGAGTCCAACCAAAAGAAAATGTAACAGAAAAACAAGAAACCAATATACACGTACAAACAGGTAAATATGTATTAAACAACAAAAAGAGTTTACAAAAGACAAAAACATTAACGTGTGTGCGTGTGCATGCATGAACATAAAAAGTTTGTGTTTCAAAGTATGTTCATACGTACATGTGTGTGTGCATAATATTCATGGCATCTTCCCAAGAAAATGCATAGTGCCCCCCACTTCAAAGGGGAAAACGCAATCTTCTGTGAGAGCTTTACATGGTCACAGTGTCTGCTGAAAATGCAAGAAAGAAAGAGAGAGAACAAAGTATTCTCAAGTATTTATACTTTAGAGATAGCGACCCTTAGTGACAATTTGGAAATTAAGTAGGAGCTAACTCTGACAAGTGCTTAGTGCTGTTTCCAAACTCATATAGACACATATTAGCATACAATACAACATCTCTATCTATAAAAGGCAGGATGTGTGTGTGTAACGAATGCACGGCCGCAATTTTCGGCGGATTTGCACCAAAATTTGCATGCACATGCTCCAAGTTAGCGGGAAGGCCAAGACCGACTTTACATTTTCCAACTCCCATCGATAGTGGAAATAATCGATTTTTTTTACATGCTTCTACAGCAGTTTTCATGTAGTTTGCGGTCATTTTGTACTGGCCAGAGCGAGAGCCTATAGCTGGCTGCCTCAAATAGGCAGGAAGATTCTATTGGCCAGCGTGAGAGCCAACAGCTGACTGACACAAATGTTAACTAGCATGCTAACATGCAAAAAAAAATCTATAGATGCATTCGTCACAAGTGGGAAAAATTTAAATCTGCATGGCACTTTACTCCAATTGGCTCATTCGCTTGCTTAAACTCAATGTTGATTCTGATTCTGCAGAACTGGGTTGTGTGTGAAAAAGTATTTGTTGTTAACATTCTTTTTTTCATTCGGTTTTTCCACTTACGAGTCCTTTTTTAAAGCTGATCGTTTTGTGTTCATTTTGTTTAGTTCTTTTTTCGTAACAGATTTAATGTTTAGTATAGAGCTTAGAAAAAATTCGCAGTGTGAGATAGGCAAGAAGTTAGGCATGTAGCAACATCAGCACAGCAAAGGGCACTCCTTTAAAGGCAAGGAAGGGCAAAAATATTTTAAGTCAAGTGATAGCGATTGCTGTATATTCATACAGCAATCGCTATCACTTGACTTATGATTTTTGAATCAAGCCCGGGCAATGACGGGTCATGCTGCTAGTATCTTATATTGTATGTTGACAAAAGATTTTTACTTCTTAATATAGTCTTCACCTCTTTCAATGGCTTCATCTGATTTAGCACCCTCAGACTTCTCACTTGTCTAATGAAAGTGACACTGAGAGGGGCAAATGTTATGGTGGTGCTGTAAGGAATTGATACATTCCCTTATTCGTAGGAGGAACAATGCCATTGAAAGAGGTGGTGACTTTGTTGAGAAGTAGGGATGTGAACCTGTGATGTACAGCTATATCGTGATGTACAATAATGTTTCATTGTGTCCCTTATTTCTTTGCATTACTTTTTGACCCATCCTCCTCCTGGTTTGATTATTTTAATTATTTATTGCTGGTCAATCATGTCTCTCTTTTTTTCTTTTTTCCTGCAGAAAGTCATCACAAGCCATTTGCAGACATTGTGTTTAGCAGAAAATGTGCTGACTGACTCTTCCGAAATGACATCTCTTGTTGACTACTTCAAGGGAGATATGCGCTTGTGCCTGTTAAATCTTCAGTTTTGGATTAACTCCGGCGGCGATCTTACTAAACACAATATTCCAAGTAGCAGTATCTGCCACCCAAGTGATGAAACGTCATGTGACCCTCCAAATGATAAACTCTCAACAAAGAATGAAATCTCTCTGACTCACCGACATTGCCTGGAAAGCTCTCTTGGCTTGAACCCAAACCATCTGCAAAAGTTATTTGATGATAGCTTAATAAGGGTAAGTTACCTTCAGATAATTCCCTCTTATTCTGGATTAATGGCTATCAGCATAGAAGTTGGAATACAGTTCTAGCCCACTCTGTCATACTCACTTTCATGCTAATGTCTTTGGGGAATGCACGGATCCATTTTTTCCCCTCCTTGGATTTAATAAGTAGAGTAGACTGAGTTCTTTAGCCTTGAGTAGCAGCCAATCTAGGTGAAGGAAAACTAAATTTAAAATCAAGAAGGTAATAGGAAAATCCAACACCACTATCGTTCCTGGGAAACTCTGCCTTTCTACATCTCTACTGATAGCCTCTCACTTGCCAATGGACAGCTCCGAACTAACACTGTCACCTTGCCCATATAAGCCTATGACTAGAATTACCTAATTTCCAGCCAAGTGGCACTTGATCCAAAAAATTTTCCTTTATTTATTTACTTCATTTTCCTTCTACCTACTTTTTCTCTATTTAGATTTGAACTAACATCGTCATCTTTTTTCTCTTTTTTCTTTTATCTTTTTTCTTTTATCTTTTTTCTTTTCTTTCTTTTCTCTTCTTTTCTCTTCTTTTCTCTTCTTTTTTCTTTTTTCTCTTCTTTTTTCTTTTTTCTCTTCTTTTTTCTTTTTTCTCTTCTTTTTTCTTTTTTCTCTTCTTTTTTCTTTTTTCTCTTCTTTTTTCTTTTTTCTCTTCTTTTTTCTTTTTTCTTTTTTCCCTTTTCTCGTTTCTTTCTTTTCTCTTTTCTTCTCTTTCTTTTCTCTTTTGTGTATCTGAAAATTATCTCCAAAAAACTGTTAATACAATACTCCCTCACAAAAAGAAAAAAGAGATTTATTCTTACAACTACCAAAAATATATTTGAGCTTTAAATTAACCTTCAAAATTTTGATAAGCTGTAAATAAAGCAAAAAAAATAAGTTTAGGTAATTTCTGTCTGAATTTCCTGGAAGAGGAGTTATCATTATTTACATTTAGACTAATATCCTCATCTTTGTTGTTATTATCACCTTTTTTTTTACTTAAATTTTGGGACAAGAAGTTATCATTATTTACATTTGAACTAACATCCTCATCTTTTTGTTTTTATTATCATAATGATTCAGCTGTTCTACATCCTGGTCTTCTTTCTGTTGTTCTGGGAAGTTTTGAACTGAACACTTTATTTAATCTATGGGGCTAGATTGTTCTCCGTTTGCTGTGTACGTGGCTAAGGGATATCTCATCTAGTTCTTCTTAACACTGCTCAGTTATTGTTAACCCTGTTTCCATCTGAGTTTGCACTACCCAGCCCAGGGATTAAACTCCCCCACAATTAACAAACCAATGTTTTAATCCACTAGGTAATTGGTTCTCAATCGGGGTCCACAATTGCATAGTTAATACAAATTTAACAAAATATTACAATAAACAATCACAAGTTTGAATGTTGGTGATTATTTAAAGAAGAAAGAGGGTACAAATGAAACTATTCAAAATTGGCAAGAAGGTGTAGCATTATCACCACCTTTGTCTTCCCTTTCTTTCTTTACTTAGGTCTTTTCCTCTTTCCCCCTTTTCTTTTTCCCCCCTTTTCTTTTTCTCTTTCCCCCTTTTTCTTTTTTCTTCTTTTCTTTTCTCTCTTTACTCTTTTCTTTTTTCTTTCTTTTCTCTTTTTTTTTTCTTTTTCTCTTTTTTCTTTCTTTTCTCTTTTCTCTCTTTCTTCTCTTTCTTTCTTTTCTCTTTCTTCTCTTTCTTTTCTCTCTTTTCTCTCTCTCTTTTCTCTCTTTCTTTTCTCTCTTTCTTTTCTCTCTTTCTTTTCTCTCTTTCTTTTCTCTCTTTCTTTTCTCTCTTTCTCTTCTCTCTTTCTCTTCTCTCTTCTTTCTTTTTCTTTTCTCTTTTTGTTCTCTTTTTTTTCTCTTTTCTCTTTTTGTTCTCTTTTTTTCTCTTTTCTCTTTTTGTTCTCTTTTTTTCTCTTTTCTCTTTTTGTTCTCTTTTTTTCTCTTTTCTCTTTTTGTTCTCTTTTTTTCTCTTTTCTCTTTTTGTTCTCTTTTTTCTTTTCTCTTTTTTCTTTTCTCTTTTTTCTTTTCTCTTTTTCTTCTTTTCTCTTTTTTTTCTTTTCTCTTTTTTTTCTTTTTCTCTTTTTTCCTTCTTTTCTCTTTTCTTTTTTCTCTTTTTTTCTTTTCAATTTCTTTTTCCCCTGCCATTTTCCTTTTCTTTTTCTGTCTTCTCTCTTATATATGCTTTCTTCTTCTCACTAAATCCAGGCAGCATCTCTGTCTTTTCTTACAATTAAAACTGAATGGTCCATTATTTATATGAAGTAATGGCAAGGCTGAACAGACATATGCAGAAACAAGCTGAATTATGATATTTCTTATAATTATTTTTTTCATTTTTTTTTGTCTTTCTTTTTTGCTCTCTCACTCTCTCTCTCTCTCTATTTTTCCTTTAATTTTCTCTCTTATGTATACTTTTTTCTCACAAAAATCAGGCAGCATATCTTTTTCTGCCATCTTTCCTTGCAATCAAACTTAATAGTTATTTATCTGAGGAAATAGCATGTCTTAAGAGACAAATAAAGGAAGAAACAAGCAGAATTATAATATACTTCTCTTTATTATTATTATGATGATGATGATGATGATCCTCCTCCTCTCTAACACCAGTGGTTACAATATGAAAGAATTATTTTTACTTTTCTTTTTTCTTTTTTTTTTTTTTTTTAATTTTTAGCCATTTACAGATGCGCTTTCATGGGAGGACCTCACTCCATTCTGTCACCATGGATATCAGCACCATTTCTCCTTGCTTCACCGGCTGTTCACCTCCAAATTGCCCCTTCCCCGGAAATCTTTCCCACTCCTTCCAAACAGAGTGCATTTGCTACAGAAATCAAACAAACCTATGAAACAATGCAATGGTTCTCCCCAGATTGGAGACTTCATTGCAGACAATGCATTGTATGACAGTGAAACATCTTTGGATGAGCCAATATTTTTATCTATACCCAAACCAAAAGAAAAGGATGATAAAATAGACACAAACTCACAGCCAATTAGTTGTTCCCAGGAATCAAAATCAAGTTATTCAGCATGTCAGCCAGTTAATCTCCAGACAGAAAGCCTCCCAGTGGAGGAAATCACTTATCCAAGTCCAATCACGGAACTCCATCCCCAAGATATTTGTCAGCAAAGAAATTGCGAAAATAAAATCCTCAGCAGCATGGCCAAATTCTATGAATGTTCTTCATATAATGACATATTCTTGAAGTCTTGTGGGCATACAGCACCTTGTAGTCCTTTATTCCGATATTCTGCAACTAGCCGATCAACACTGACTGCTGGCTTATGGGACGAACTGCCTGTGGAAGATACTAGTGCACACATCTTACGTCTATGTCTGGAGAATACACTTGACATGGCTGCCAATTTGGAATTAAGAACATATGTGAACTGCCTTCAAGACATTTCCCAGGCAGCTGAGAATGTAATCAAAGGACATGAATATTCTATTTCCATTGCTCCTCAACAAGAAACCTTTGGATTAGCCAATTTACAATCACGTGATCGAAGGTAGGTACATCTCTTTTCCTTTTGTATGCATGCAATGAATTCTCATTATTGTCTCAGAACTGTACCCAAAGAACAATTTTTTTTTTTTTTTTTTTTTTTAATCAAAACATACAAAGCAGTGCAGTGAAGCCATTCATACACAAGGGGTTACTGAGTGTGAAAGAATATGAAAAATGCAAAACATTATTAAGGAGTAAAAACAGTAGGAGAGTAATCAAGAAGACAGTAGATAACAATTGACATTGGATTTAAATTTTTGAAGATCAATGTTGGCTGGAAAGCATGGAGCCAGAAGATGATGCACAAGGGAGAAGTGTAAATTGATGAGGCCTTCCAGCTAATGTAATACTATGCAGTTTTTTTATTTTCACTACTTCTTGTCCTTTCTTAGTTAATACAATTCCATACAGTAGCCCTCTATGATGAGTTGCTCTCGAGCCTTGTACTGAGTGAATATTAGTTTAAAAAAAACAAAAACAATTAACGCATTCCAACTATTCACAATGAAGAAAGTTTTAAGGCTGAATTCAAGTTCCAGCCTAGTCTGTTGCATTCACTTTCACACAGTTACCCTTGAGAAAGGTGTGAATCTACACCTTCTCCTCCCAACTATATTAAATAGAATCATAGATCAAGCTATCTAGCCTTGATTGGCAGCCAGTCTTGGTGAAGAACTATTGTGAATTCAAAAATGATGTAGAAGGCAGCAGGAAACCATTTCATTATCTTTTCCAGGATTCATGGGAACTCATAGATAATAAAAGCAAAGATTTCAATGGAAAGCCATCATTGCCCAGGTATTGAACAGACATGGCTTTAAAAAAAAGAAAATGTTAATGATCTTGAAAGATTTGTCACCTAGGAAGTAATTCTTCTTATTCTCATCAAATTCTTCCTGAGTTATTGCTCTGAAATATACAAAAATGACATTATTTTTTTTTTCCTTTTTCAGTCATAGCCTGGCACAAGAGAGAGCTATGGAGAATGTCCTCAGCAGCATTCCATTGTCTTCTGGAGTCCAGCACTATTCACTTTATCTTGATTACTTACCAATGTTACGTGAAGTGTGCAGAGTGGAGAAGACAAGACAATTGGCCAAGATGAAGAGACGGTTAGTTGACTTTCAACTTCATGTTCCTTTCTGAATAATATAATAATAATTTCCTTTCATTTTTTTTATTTCTCCTCCCGCGATCCCTTCCTGTTCTCCCTCCTTGCGATCCCTTCTCCCGGCGATCCCTCCCTCCCGGCTATCCCTTCTCCCGGCGATCCCTTTCCGTTCTCCCTCCCGGCGACCCCTTCCCGTTCTTTCTCCCGGCGATCCCTTCCTGTTCTCCCTGTCCCTGTTTTATTTCGTTTTTTCCTTTCTTTGCTGCCCCCTCTTTCTCCACATTTCCTTTTTTTTTTTCCTTTGATCTTAAAATTAAATTTCCTAATTATGTTAGTTTAAGATGTTAGATTTAGTGGCATTTTTCATCAACAATGATAAAGATTAGAATACTGCCAGTCATCAATGTTCAATATTCAATTTAGTTTTATTGCAAAATTTTACTTTCAGTTGAGCTAGCTTGAACCTTCATGAGTCTTGTGCCATAGCTTGTTGTTCAGAGCAGTAGATCAGTCACAGTGTCCTGCAAAGCACATTGTGTTCACGTAAGATTGTAGAAATATCAGGGATGGATCCATAGAGCTGTAATTTAGTTGGATGTTGTCTCCAAGAGATGTTAAGTATAGCTCTCAATATCCGAGTGTAGATTCTATCAATTTTAGTCTGTAAGGTTTTAGTTAATGTCCAAGCAGTGGAGCCATACATTAACATTGACTCCCTAATAGTACAAAAGAATCTCCATTTAATGTTGTTTGATAAATCAGATTTCCAAATTACACCCATTTTATTCAATGCAGCCCAGGCCTTAACTATGGGAATTTTCCCATCCTTTTCAGTAGACAGTAACCATTTAGTTTTTTTTTTTACTTTTTATAATTTATTGAATTTGTAATTTTCTTTATGCTATCATTTTAAAAAATTTATTAGTCTTTTATTTGATTTTTAAAAAAATTCATTTTAAAGTGATTCTGTTTGTATTAATAATTAATTAAAAATTTGTAAAACTTCCTGAACATATTTTGTTTATCTTTGCAGGTTTTTTCATTATTTTGACAACATTGGCTTTCCCTTGAGAGAATCTACATTGAATGTATTGGCCAATGGCTTTACGTGATATTCAGCTATAAACTTCTGCAGTATTTTTTTTTTTTTTAAGTTAATCTTATTTACATTTTTTTTTATTTATTTCTTTTTAATTCTTATTAATAACGTTTAAGATAATATAGAAATTGTATTTTTAAAAATCTGCATAAGTAAATACACTTAGTTTATATTCAATGCTAAGTTTACCTATATACTGAGAAGTTGCATTTGTAATCACCTTTTCTGACAGATAAAGATTTTTTTTTTTTTTTTTCCTGTAAATTTGTTTTAGGTTTGTTGAAGTAAAATTTTTAAAAGGGCATTTTGGAAATATGAGACATTTAAAAAAAAAAAAAAAAAACTTCATTTAATTGTCTATGATATTTCACACTCTTTTTTTTTTTTTTTTTTTTTTTTTTTTCTCATGTTAGTTTATTTTTGTACATTGACTTAACATGAAGCAGAGGATTATTTCACAAAATCTTCAGTTGGGGATTTTATGTTATTCAGTCAAAATAAATTGAATGGAGAGAAGAGGGGGTGGGGAGCAAAGAAAAAAAGGAACTAAGATCTTCTTCTGCCGGCCAAACATTATTTTCTGGATTTTTCTTCTCAAAATCTACATTTTGAACTGAGGACATCGCATACACACACACACACACACACACACAAATCTGTGTTAGACCAGAGATGACTGATATATAATTTATGAGTGTAAGTATATCTGCACCGAAACAATCTTACCCTCACTTCATTTTCATCTACCAGCATTTAAGCAAAAGTTGTTGAAGGTAATTAGAAACATCATTTTTGGCAGCATAAAAGGTGCAAAGGGCATAGTGGAAACACCTCCCATTTCAGCAGGGCATATTCAGGAAGTATGCTTAACCCTTTAGCATTCAATACTCTCAAACCCACCCTGTAAATTCACACTGTTTAAAAAAAAAAAACTGTCTACTCAAACATGTCTCCACTAAAATATAATGTTTACACTAATAAGAAATAATGTTAGATTAAAAATAAAATCTATAAATTCCTATATATATATATATATATATATATATATATATATATATGATTTAAAAAAAAAATGGAGACAAAACAATTTGTAAACTTTAAAAGCGTTTTTGAAATATCAGACTTGATTGTTACAAAAATCATGAATCCTTTACCTTTGAGATTTCTGTGAACAATTCCATGATCATGCAGGTGACTAAGAGCTTTCAATATCTCACGAGTATACATACGGATCATGCTTTCAGGAAGGCCAAGATTAGATGCTTCTTCAATAGTGCCACGATCACAATATTCCATAAATACAATCATTTCATCCTATAAAAATAAGATCATCTTATTGTATCAACTATTGATGGCTTTTTATAAAGATCTTAGATCTTTGTACAAATTTCATAATCAATGAATCTTCTCAATATATCTTATTACTTTAAACGTTATATTTAATGGATATGCATGTTTTAGTAGACATCTGTTTTTTTTTTTTTTTTTATAAACCCTGTTAATTTTACAGGGATCTTTATTCAAACATGTATATCTAGTAAATATAACGTTTATGCTAATAAGATATATGGAGAAGATTATGTTGGATTATAAATAAAATCTATTCCTTAGATACTAATTTTTGCAACAATTGAAATAAATCTTGTATGTTCAAATGTAAAATTTTAGTATTGATTAGATTGAGTTTTTTTTTTTTCTTGTCTGTTTATCTTAGATACTAAAATTTATTTAAATTTTCTATACAGTTAGTCTTTGCAAAATAGCAAAGCAATATGTAAGACAATGAAATAATTTAAGAATGTCATTGGAAAAATATATCTAGAGTTTCTGGAAAATATTACAATATCTGAAAGAAGGTAAAGATTACTTTTTTAAGTTAAGGAAAGATATAGTTTTCCTTGGATAAAAACTATGGATCATCTATAGTGCTGTTCATTTAGCAGTCAATTTGAGAAAATTTAAAATGATAATTATTATCTTCATGACAATTTCAGAAAGTTTTAGATTTATTTCAGATACTTGTAAACTCTTAGATTGATTTAAAACAAAAAAATGTATTTTGTTTGCAGATATTTTAAACAGAACTCTGGAAATAGAAAATTTAGATTGAAGTACAGTGGACTCAAAATGTTTAAAATTTGTTAAGAGTTCACCCATGACGAAAAGAAACCTACAATAAGTTCAGTTGTAGATTTGATGAAAATTTCAAAGGTTGTCCCAGATTGCTGCCTCAGGAGCGAGTAGTGTACATTTTTTGGTCACTTAAAAACATAACATTGAACTATAGGTAAAGAAAATCTTGTCTAGAGAATAAAAACAAAAGTTTTCATGCTTGTTACCAAAAGTTTGTAAATTATCACAATTCGATTTTTTGACATTTTTGTTGGATATGTCTGTTTGGATGCTACAAGAAAGAATCATTGGCATTAACATTATAATGTTTCCTCTTGATTATTTTAAGACTTCCTGGTGACAGCCAAAGGGTATACTCAGTATGACAGTGTAAACAGACATTTTTTTTTTCCTCTGTCACTGACTGGGCTTTATATTTAAGATGTCTTAATGTTTGAAAAATGAGTTTTGAGTTTATGTGGGTATCTAGATCTGAGCTTAAGAAAACAAAAAAAAATACCTTCTAAAATATATATTTTTATCTAAAAATTCTGATTTTTTTTTTTTTTTTTTAAATTTCCCATCTCAGAATAAAAGTACCACATTACACATTATTGGTTGTTCATTCCTTGTATATAAATAATTTTTCTTTTCAAAATGTGTTTTTATTATTATTATTGTTTCTTCTATTTCTTGATTCCTGGACATTATCACAAAGACTTACATGAAATGTACATTAATATTTGTGATGTCTACCAAATTTTTTGACTTATAAATAAATTCATTCAAAATCAATTTCATGTGCAAACTCATTGTTTTGACCAAAAACTGACTTACAATCATGTAATGTTGAAATCCCAGTTCTTGTACTATCACCAAAGTTATACAACATCAGGCTTGGTCAGTACCTAGGTGGGTAACCAGTTGGAAATTCCAGGTGCTGTAAGCTTAGATATGTGGGTGACGACTTGGAATAAGAAATTCCACTCAGTTTTGTAATATTCACTTGCACACAAATAACCTTGGGAAAGGTATGAATCCACATCTTCTCCCCTCCAACTATGGGTTAAGTAGTATGACTTGTATCAGTAAATTATTATCTCCAAAAAATATTCTGACAATAAAAACATTTTTGGCTTTAAATAACCTGCAAAAGATTGATAAACTGTGGGGAAAAAAAATCAATTCATATAGACTTGAAGAGTTTGCTGATGACATTAGTGAGGATCAGTATTGCAATGTGGAAGAGCACTCACTCACTTTTTTAAAACCAGGGCACACAGTTGACACTTTCCATGTACTTTGGAAGCATCTCTCTTTCAGGTTGTAGTTAAACAATTTTGTCAAGTTAGCAATTAAGAACATTAACTCAATTGTCTCCCCTGAGATTTTATCCAAGCTGGTAGCGTTTTTAGAGTCGAGGCTTTTGATAAGTCTGGAAACTTCCCATGTTGTGATAGAGATATTACAAAGTTTGTTCTCCATGAGAAGGGAGCAGTCAGGTAAAGGGTGGGTCCTAATAATCTAACATAGAGGCAAAATTCATTGTAAAGTGCCTTGTCTGATGAAGATGAAATAACCTCCAGGCCATTTATAATAGTTTGCACTGATGCTTTGTCTCTATTGAAAATAGTAGTTGTTACCGTGGGCTGCAGCACATTCTGGCATGAACCAAGCCTGGCTATGGTTAGTATTTTTTTTTTCTGTGGGATAAAAGAATCCATTCAGAAATAGTGGCAATTCTAGAAGCTGAAAATGGGAGCTTCCACAAGATAATCCGAACTGTCCCGGTCATCTTTGGCATACTGAAAGATTGCCCTATGAAATGGGACATTAGGGGATAGTTTTGGTTTGGCATCAACTTTAACAATGATCAGAAGTGCTCAGCATAGGTAATTTCAGACAATAAGATCTTGAGAGGAGGTAAGTGTTGCTAAGTTATCACCAGGAGTCCTAGCAAAAGATAATTTTGTAGCACAAGTGATTGAAATAAATTACTTTTCTGTTTGTAAGTCTTAGCTTATTTGAGCATAAGGCAATCTGAGTCCCCAATTAGGATTGATATCAAGGTAGTTGGAATTGTTTGCTAGTCTTCATTGAAGAATCTAATGTTATTGATCCTGAAATTATTACACTTACCTGGCATTTTGGCTTCAGTCACTTTCCCATCACCATAATGTAGCTACACTCTGCTCTCCAATTTCCAGCTTCAAGCTGTTCTCTATTACACCACTTGCACATCAACGCTTACAGCACCCAATATTCCCAAACAGTCACCCATCTAGGCACTGACCAGACTCAATGATGCTTAACTTGGGTGATTGTATGAGAACTGGTATTTCAATGTGATATGGCTGTAAGCCCTTTGAGTCTATAATCAACAAGAAGGTTGTTGGTCACCTCAACAGGAACAAGCTCCTCAGCGACAACCAGTATGGATTTTGTTCTGCTAGTACCACTGCTGATGTCTAAGTGCCAGAATTGGTGAATCACAAGATAATGAATTCATCACAAATACATCAAAGGCTGTTGACAAGCCATGGCATTGGAAGTTGTTGCATAGTTTTTGCATTCTTTGACTTTCGTATGATGGATATATATCTTTGCAGACTTGAGCACCTCGGAGTGGTGTAATGGTTAGCAAGCTTGTCTCGCTAGATCAGTTACAACTGAAAAGTGAGTTCGATCCTCACTAGGTGTCCCATACTTTCGACCTTGTGCCACATCTAAGCTACGCTTAGAAAATATCTATATCTTTGCAGACTTAATGTTACATTTTTAGCGTTCTGCTACCACTTTTCTATCAATGTCAGTTTTTGTGCAATTCTGTGCAAAAAGTGAATCACAGGGCCTTCATATTTTTCTCATTGGTCACTTAATATTTAAATCATGTTCTCAACTACATCCAAATAACATTGACTTAGTTCCTGACGAAAATACATTTCTGTCAAATTCTGTCTATGCTTTCTGGAGCCAATCATGTGATTATAAATAAATACCAGAAACAAGTTTGTTCTTCCTCTCTTTTTGATTTCTCTTGCTTACTAAAATGTAGCTGTTTAAGAAACTCATGTTTCGACCCTTTACAGGCGGACACTATGAAAACATATTCACACCAACTAACCCTCTACACATTTATCAGTTTAGTGTTTTATGATTACTGATATTTCCTTTCAACTACGTTCCTTCCTCCTGTAGTTTCCAGCTGGTTAATGGTAGACATGTGTTGAGGTATATTTAGGCATGTTGGATCAGGTGGTACCAACAAACATTGCTGGTAATTTGTTATGATAATTCCTTTTACAATACTAGCAGTATGACTTGATCATAGTCATAGAAGTAGTGTAACTAGTAGAAATTATAATAATGTAATATGAGTAAATAATATTATTGGGCCAAACTAGATAGAAGTGACTAAGGTAAAATTGAAGGCTATGGTACTGGGGATATAATTAGCCTATGAGTGGCCACAAAATATGCTATCATATATACCATTGAATATGGTATATATATATATATATATATATATATATATATATAATGTATATGCAACTTGTATGACAATCATATTGTTGCCTAATATGAGGTAATATCAAAAAGTTGCTGGACTACACCTCAAAAAAAAAAAATTTTTTTTTTTTTTTATAACGAATTTTACTCAAATTTGATTAAATCTTAAATTCCACTACTGATGTCAATGTGACCTAAGCAACTCCAAGAAAAGAAAAATTTAAAAATAAACAGAGATACTAAATACATTATTTTATACTGTATTCAAGAATTCTACCTATAGCACTACTCCCTCTCAACTGGGGACACCTGTCTGGGCATCTCACTCTGCTAGTCAAACTTGCCCACCTATATTGTGTTTAAGTTTTTGATCTGAAGAAGTCTTAGGTGAAGGTTATTGAAACACCTTCAGAAGTGAAGGAGGTAAGTTACAAAAAAAAGTAAAAAAGGAAGTGATTTTCAGAACAGAAACTGACTGTTGCCTTTAGAAACAATGCTGTAAAATTTATTTGTGAAGGATTACATTTATTAGATTAACCCTTCCAATTCTTTGGTGCTGTGGTCTACCTTAATATGGTAGGTTTGTGAGTTAGTAAATGTCAGTCTTATTTACATCATATAATAGCAACAATGCTTCAGATTGTTGAATGATAGTTGGTTCAAAAATTCAGACAGGGAACTTTGGTTTCAGGCTTGCAGACAAAATTGGTTTCCATTGTTTCATTGGTCATTCTTGTCATCTGAAAATCTTTTCAGATGACAAGATTATTCTCAGGCAGTATCTTGCAGGGTGTAGTAGAGTAATGGTGATCTCAACTGCTCTTGTTACATTCTGTTGTCTTGCATCTCCACCAACTGATCCCTACTTGATTCCAGACTGTTCCAACTACTACCTGATTACATGTGTGTGTGTGCGTTATATTATGATCCTAGGAGGCACGGTGGAGTAATGGAATGGAGTTCGAATTCCAGTTGAATCCATTACATTCACTTACGTGCTAATACCCTTGGGAAAGGTGTGAATCCTCTTCTTCTCCTTCCAGCTATGGGTAAATAGCAGGACAGATTGGGTTCTATAGCCTTGGATGGCAACTGGTCTAGGAAAATGAAAACTCTGAATTCAAAACCTGCGGAGGGTCGTTTGGGGACCTTGTGGCACGTAGTGCACCAGGTCTCTGTATTCGGCCCTTCAAAAAGTGTGGATGGTCCTGCACGAAACCTTCACCACTATAATCAAATCTCATGCTGTTGTCGAGCTGTCAGTTTCCTTGAAATTGATCTGCTTCACCCTCATATGTCAAATTCGACGGGAGAGTTGAGTATATATATATATATATATATATATATATATATATATATATATATATATATATAGCTCTCCTCACTTAACAACCAGGTAACATTCCAATGATCAGGTCAGTAAGCAAGGATCTATACTAATAGTAATATTTCACATTTTCACGATATCAAGGATATCCAAAAGCATTGATAATTTGGCACCACGACTGCCGTTACTACAGCTCTAATAACATAATAAAGAAAAGGTTTAAAATTCAAAATGCTATTAAAAGATTAAAATATAATTGCTGAGTGAGATAAAATTTCATAAGAAAGGTACATAATATTATAATTTTATGTACATTTATGAAATTTTAGGGTATTTTATTTTTTTCCAAATTAATGTCTGTCATTGCAAAAAAAAATGCTAAAATTTGCTGTTATTTTAGTCTCTGATGCAAAAAGAAACAAGGTTTTTTTTAATCAAAAGTTAGAATGTTTTAAAAAGGATGGAAAAATTTAATAAAATAATTTAAAAATACTTTGGTGTTTCCTCTTTATAACAACATAAATCTTCTGATGATAAAATTTTGATTTTATCATGCTATGCTCATTTTTCAGCAATCTCATGAAGATATCTACTGTATAATATCGTGCATTACTGGTGGTGGTTTGTAGGGCGTGACATAAGTCTGAGTGGTTGTTAAACATGTACGTTTCTAAGGCTATATATATATATATAGCCCCCTCACTTTGTTAATTTACATATGCTTAAGATGGCCCGTCAAAAATGTGTAAATTTCTTTTCATTTTTCATTTCAACCTTTGGAAGTAAAGTCTGGTGATCCAGAGCCCTTTAAAAGGGCTGTGGTAAAATAATTTATTACATGGAACCTTAAAGTGGTCTGTTTTTTATTCAAACATATTTGCTCTGAATTTACATTGAGCTCTCCAGATAACATCCTCCTTGGATCTACCCATATGGATTACCTAGTTTTGCATAAACTCTATATATATATATATATATATATATATGGGAGTGTGTTCCTTTCAAGTGTTAGGTTATTACAGGTTGATTTGTATGCATGCATAATAACAGGGGAAAGCTTTTGAGGACTTTAGTTTCATTTTAGTTGAGTCAGCTGAATTCTTGACTCAAACGGAGAATCAAAGAAAGTTGGATGATATTAAAAAAATAAAACTCCCAAGTGAATTTTAACCCGTTTATGGCCAGCTGATTTATTTCATTCATCCTTTTTTCAGCAGTGAGCTGGGATGAAGGGTGGATGCTCCTTGTTTCAATCAATCTTTGTTAATTCACAAGTTCAAACTCAAACAATTCCAGATACTAATTTATTTTATTCTAATTAAATGCTTTTCATTCCTCCAAAAACCCGCTAGAAAAAACAGACCCCATAATGCCTCTGGTATACTAGTAAAAGTGTTCTTTTATATACCATGTCCCTTCAGTATGTGGGTGATCATGGCTCTCCACAACTTCCTGTCCATTATAGATCTAAATAAATTTTATTCCTTTACCATCGCTCCCAGTCCCTGCTTTACATAATTACATAAATTCATGAGGTAGGTTATTCGGTATTTCCCTCTGACACTTTTGCTCTGTGGATGTTAAATTCTCTCAGTTCTCCTTCTTCATAGTGTGACCCAGATTTCTGATTCTAAGCATAAATGCTCTTTTCATTCCCATTTTCCTTAAAACTTCCTTGTTACTCACATGGTCTGACCATGGTATTCTTAGTATCTTTCTGGACAACCAGATATCTATATATTTGGTATACTAATAAGATCCAAATTACCTAGCTTTGCTCTCTAGGCTTTTCATATCAACTCTTCAAGTGTCAGGTATAAATTCACTTACTCATAAAATGCACACCAGTAACTCTATTACATATCAATTCTACTAGTTTAGTTACATTGAAATGTCTTCTTTTTCTATTTATTTGATTGAAGCTTTAAAAATTATAGCAATCACTTAAACTATTTGAGTATTAATTCTTGCACAAAAATTAAGCAACTGGAGTGCTGATAAAATCCTAAGTTATTTATGAAAAAAATATTATGTACATAAAGGAGAAACTGAACCCTTTAATTAATCTATGGGGGTAGACTGTATTCATTTCACTGCTTGGGTAATCAACTAGTTCTTATTTTTATTTAGTACTGCTCAATTAATGCTTGCCTATTTCCACTAAGCACACACTGCCCAACCCAGGGATTGAACTATGTCACTAAATTCACAAACCAATGCTTTAATCAATTAGGCCATACATGACAATGGCCTAGTGGATTAAATCCTCACGCCAGAAATTTAGGTAGAAAGAAACTAAGTTAAAATACTAATTTTTTCGTAAGTAACTCCTAATATCTGTCTATATTTCTGAGATGAAGTATTGTAATTATTTACATTGTTCAGACTGTTGTCCTCATCTTTATTGATTATGTTCACAGCATTTCGGCCATTGTACATTTTTTTTTTTTGAACTGAACTCTTTATTTTGTTCACCATGCCTCTTCCAGATGTCTCGGTTATCTCCCTTCAATTCAACTCTCC